ATCGGTACCCCAGTTTGCTTGCAGCCATTCGTGATATAAAGATGATCTCGGACCCCAGTCCTCCGAATACCCAATTTCATAATCCGTATGCTGAATCTTCCATTCAATTAATTCGTCAAGGGACTCGTACACTGTTGGTTCAAAGTGGTCTCAATGTTCAGTTTTGGTGCAAAGCCATGGTTTGTTTCTGCTACCATTACAATTTGACCACCAATCCCTCACTTGTTGACCAATCTTTGCGTGAAGCTGTGGATGAGCTCCAACGAGCTCTTCCGGAAGGAGAAGAAGGTCCTCCCCTCCCACCGGTTGAGTATGACAGCAAACTTCACATGGCTTTCCAATATCAACCGGAACCCCGAATGATTCCTTTTGGGGCTTTGGTATGGTTCAAAGATCTCACTGTCCCCAAGTCATTTGGTCCCAATGGGCATCCTGCCATTTACATATCCCCTGAGGTTCTCCCAGGTTTAAGGTGCACGGTGCAAGGATGTTCATATTTTGTTGGATTTGGATCAATTGAAACAAGGAAAATTCCGTGAAGTGGTTACTGGTTACTCGTGATTTTGTCCCACCTTCTGGTTCATGGTTTTTTCCGTTGAATCGTGTTGGCCTTCTGCAACAGCCCAGCCTCCAGTTCCCCAAAATCCCTCCTGTCCCACCTGCTTCCCTCGATGAAGCAGCTGATGATGCTGATGCTGGTCCTTCTAGACATCGTAGCATTACCAAACGCCGACGAGAACAATACGGGGGGACACCTGGGTGTCATGGTTGCTTGACTGGCACTTATCAGCATACTGCTGAATGTCGGGCTCGGTTCAACGAGTTGCTCAACAAATCCGAACCTCTTGGCGACCTGGAATCCGGGGGGGGAATGATGCCGATGATGCCGATGACCCAGATGACGATTGAAAACCTTCCAAGCCGGTTAAACCCAACATGGAACGGACTTTATTTGACATTTTGGATTACATGCAGGATTTCGATCATGATGTGGTCCCAATTTGCCCGCCTGAAAGTGATGAAGACTATGCTCCTACCACATCAACCGAAACACCTTATGATGTTGATCTTGAAGACCTCATCAGTGATGAAAACCAGAATGGTGATCCACCGGAATCTGTCTTCGAACCGTTGGAAGAATTGGTTCCGGGGGGTGTAGGAAAGGTTGATTTTGGGGTAAATAGGAAGCATGGGATTTTGGTGGAATTCTGTTGTTCCCCCAATAGTTCACTCAAAAGGGTTGCTGAACATGTCAAGATCGCGTATTTGGGTGTGACTAAAGAGGACATTAATGTTGAAAATCCAGATACTTTCGAACAGTTTTTGCTATGGTTGCAAATTGAAGTCCAGGAAGGTGAGGGTCCTGTGCATTTGTGGTCAAGTATCCCCTGCACAAAATGGCCACCTTGGCAACACATGGCAATTTCCAAATATGGCAAATCCTTTGAAGAGAAGTTGGAAGTTCAACGAGATGAGTCTAGGGCTATGGTACTTTGATTCAAAGAAACTACTGAAGTTGTGAAGCTCTCCAGAGGGGGCTCATTCACTTTTGAGTGGTCTCGTGGCAGCACTGGATGGAAGGAACCTGTCGTTAAGCAGACCATGGAGCTGTTAGGGCTGAAAGGTGTCAATGTTGATGGACGTGAATTTGATTTGGAAATCAATGGCAAACATCCCCAACGTCCTTGGGGTTGTTTGATGAGTTGAGTACTAAAGTTTGTCATCACCCAGCCGGTTACCATGATCATCTTGAGGGCCCAATTGCTGCCAAATCTGGTTACTACAATGTTGCCATGGCTACTTGTATTTTGGTTACCCTATTTCCAGGTATCGTTTTCGACCATGTTCCTGCGATGCCGGTTAAACCATTTGTTCAACATGCCCATAGGGATAAACATCTGTTTGAACCAACTCCTTCATTGTCAATTCTTGCTGCCATCCATAAACTGTGGACCAGAAAGGAAATGATGAATGATCCTGTTGCCCTGCAATCTGTAAGAGATGAAGTAGGGGACTTTCGTAGGATCGGTGTCTGGGATGATAACAGTGTGATGGTTCGCGCAGAGAGGATTGCAAGGTGAAGGCCTCCACTTCAGCTCAGTTGATGTCCATATTCCATTAAACATTGGGAAATTCCTTCAAAAGGAAACGCAAACCATGAGTTGTTTTTCTTGGGGATGATATAGTCGACCATATGGAGGTGCAGCCCAATTTGGACAGCTGTACTCAGCTCCCACAAACATTCAAGCTGTCAACATTGCGAGCTACTACGGTATGAATGACAACAACACCATCAGGGTGGCAGACGCCACAAAAGCCTTCCTGCAAGCAGAACTGATGACCCTGGTCCCAACCTATGTGGAACTTCCACCGGAGATGTGGTTGGAAAAATGGGACAATAAGTACCGTAGACCCACTGTTCGCTTGATGCGCGCTTTGTATGGACACCCCCAAGCTAGCGTGCATTGGGATCTTCATCTCCGTCAAATCTTGATCAATGACCTTGGTAGCATTCCGGTTGATGGTCACCCCAGTGTTTTCTTCCATGAGTCATGGCGTATCCTAGTTGTGGTTTATGTTGATGACATTCTTGCCTCGGGACCATCCTCATCCCAAGACTTGTTTTGGAAAGAATTGAAGTCCCGGGTGCAATTGGATGATGTTGAAGAGCTGTCTCAATTTCTTGGACGTTTTCATCACATGACCCCAGGACGATGCGTGTTTGACATGCGCGATTACGCCACAGAAGCGGTGAATTTGTATTTAAGAAATAGCTGATAAGGACACTGTACTTCGACATGTTTCCACACCATTTGTGTCCCTTGGAATTTTGGTTGACAAGGACTATACCTCTTCTGGACAAATATGCCGCAAAGCATCATCCATTTTGATGAAACTTTTGTGGTTAGCCAGATTACGTCGGCCCGACCTTTCATTCCCTATTTGTTTACTAGCTGGACAAATCGCTTCTTGGACACGTAACGCTGACAAACAATTGTTCAGGTTATATTATGTCAACTCGACCATTTCACACTGCTTGAACCTGACCGTCAAGGATCAACCTCAGGATTGTACTTTAGACCTCTTCTGCGATGAAGACCTAGGTGGTTGTCCGCACACAGCCAAGAGTACAAGCGGGATGTTTTTGGTGGTGAGGGGACCCAACGGAACGTTTGTTCCGCTGAGCTGGCACGCTCGGCGACAGCAACACGTGGCTCGGTCTACCGCTGACGCGGAGCTAAACTCCGTGAGCGAAGGGTTGTACGAAGAGTTGCTGCCAACGCATCAGCTCATGTCTAAGCTGTTTGTAGAGTTGACCCCCAAACCAATGGTGAGAGAAGATAATGCTGCTGTTGTGGCAACTGTCACCAACGGCTACTCGATCAAACTCAGGCACCTAGCTCGCACTCCCAAGCTGAGCCTTGCCTCCCTTAATGAGGCATGTTCCACATGGGCTACTCTTGTTCAAACACCCACCAATGAACAACTTGGCGATTATTTCACCAAATCCCTCGCTCCCAACAAGTTTGATTGTACGAGACTTGGTTTGTATCCTTGGAATTCAAAAGTGTAACTGTAACTGCCTTCCATCAGGTCCCGGTTTGGTCCTTAGTTTCTTGAGTCTGGACCCTAAAGACGAAAAGCACCGGAAGGTAAGTGCACTCCAGCAACCAATGCGGGTGCCCACTTAGGATCGTTGTTGCCCCATCCTTTGAGATTTTGTAAGTATGCTGCACTTCAAGCGTTGTGGCCTTTTCTTCGGGCGCTGACGCAGCTGCTGTGGCGCGGACCTTGGTGTCTATTCGCTGCGCTGCAACTTCCGTTCCTGATGCAGTAATTCATTTTCTGGGAAGTCTCGCAATAGAGTGCTTCGGAATTTGTTTGGGAAAACTCCTGCCGAGTACTTCGGAATCTTTTGCCGCACAGGCAGAACTCCCTTCCCTTAGTTTTTCACTACGGTGTGGTTTATCCTGCACGCGATGCTGTAACCACTAGCACAGATCCCTTGTTTTCCTGCATGCGATGCGGATTCAAGGAGCCTTCCTTTCGAGTGTTCTCATGAGCTTGCGTTTCGCACGTCCGATGTGCGAGACGGGCCGGGCGCCTCGCACCGTCGGTTCGCTTGGTCACTTTCTGCTGAGTCACTCGAACGGGGGGAAATTTAGCCGTAGATGCATTTCAGCTGTCAGTGATACCTCTTCATGCGATTGACTTCATGTGACATTTGGCTCAAGGCGCGAGGTACAAAAAGGTGCCTGCTGCATTGCGCTTGGGTCTGATTTCCACAAAACGTTGTATGTTTCAACATCTCGAGACAAAGAGAGAGAGAGAGAGAGACACGGGGAGAGATGGCTAAACACATGCTTCTTTTTAATGGATAGATAAATAAATATATATATATATATCTTTGCGAGATGGAAGATATGGAAGGTGAAATAGACGGATACAAAAGATAAACAACTGGATTGATGGATGAATGGGCGCAGATATGTGCAGATGCACAGATAAATAAATGAAGCAAAACTGATTGAATGATGAATGAATACCACGATAAAAAATAAATAAAAATACCAAGTAAGAGAAAAGGTAGACCCTCTGAGAAGCGGAGGGCAGACAGACAAGCAGAATCAAACAGACTGATGCAGAAAGATAAAGAGAGGTGACAAGACACGAGAGGTGGACAGAGAGACAGAAAGATTCAGAGCCTCAGCCACTGTTCGGCCCATCAGGTCGCTCTGCCATCCATGCGTCTCAACAAACCAAACCTCTCCTAACCTATAGGTTTTCTATCTTTGAAACTTCTGCCACCGCCTTGTGCGGTACTACTGGTAAGACATGGTAAGACTCTGTACGACTCCTAATACCTTGAATCCTGCCGATAGGTTTGATCATAGACCCCTAAGATGTGAGTTACATGGTTGCTCCTGGTGGCTGCAGGCCTGTTCCACAGAAACTCAGCAGCTGTTGTTTCTTTCCCACCCATGGTTTCCCCTGCTCAGGGTGATTACGGTCAATGGAAAAATCCTTTACGAGGTCCTCATGGAAAAGGCACGGGGAAATTTTGGGTTGGAGGCTTGGGTGCGGCGGTATGAATCTGCAGGAAACTCACCGGAATCCCGCTGCCTTTGGATATCCTGCATACCACCCTGTCCATCCTATCCCATACCGCCCCGCTGTGGTTGATTTACAACAACATTGATCCCCAAAATTGCCCTAATGTTGGTGAATATCCTGTCACCCTAAATTATAATTGGTAGTATTATGTTTTGCAAACACCAAATTCCGTCCGGACGAAATGGATAAAACTTGGAAATCGCTGCTTTAAACTTGGACATGTGATGGTTGCCTTGCTGGATTTCGCGACAAGACTTGGGAATGCTACAAGTATGATGCAAATGCAGGTGTTCATCAAAAGACTTGGCTTGGAGAGTCTGGGGGTCGAAAATTGATTCAGAGTGAGCCTTGCTCCAATTGTTTCTCATTTGCCAGGTCATTAAATCCCCACTGCTGAAGGCAGCACTCATTATGAGTAAGGAAGCAATCATTCAAACAAATCCAACATGGAGCTGCTTTGCTGCACCAAATGGATGTCATGACATGTTTGGACTGGATGCTACTGAAAACAATGCCCACTCATGAGACATATCCTGCGCGTGTTTCCTGAAAATATTTGAAAGGTTCTATAGGCATCTCTAGGCTATGGGACAATGTCAGGGAGAGAGATAGAGCAAAAGCTTTTCAGAGCCTTGATCCAGCCGATCCAGCCACTTCAGCACTGTTGATGGTTCCGCACTTCCCAGCCCACGTATTCCAAGACCTGTTCCAGGAAAGCATATTGACCACGGATCCATACTTAACCAATTTTCTCCAAGATTCTCTCCAAGCAAGGTTTCATGGTTTTCGACCTCTTCCAGATTGGCGTTTGGGAAGCATTTTCCGTGTGTGGCGATACTTTGGGTGATGCGTCACCTTTGTACGCATTTTTTTTGGTCTTGGGGATGCGAAAGAACATCAACTTATATAACAAATTTCAAGAAGATTGCTTTTTCATTGTCTACGGGTCAGACGCTAGTTTCTTATCCTGCTCTTGAGGTCTTGGTTGTCAAACACATTCACTATGAACAGATGACGTACTCTGACATAGCCCAGAAAAGCCCTTTCCACCAAGCTCTAATTTAAGAATTTAAGACCTACTTGTAGGCAGATGTGGGTAGGCAAAAGGTGCATGGACCTGATTCCCTCTCACTTTTGGAAGGGAGACGCAATTGGCAAGTGCGCAAGATGTATGTGCATTACAGAGTCCCCCACAAGTGCAGCATGCGCTAGCCACTCACCCTGTCACCCGGCCTCTTTCAGGTTCGGCATTGTCAGTCTTTGTCTTTGGCTCCTTGGACAGAGGGCTGTGACGCAATGGGAATTTAACACTTGGGTACTTGGGTTTGGCTGAAAATGGGTGATTTGAATCACCAAATGGCCATGAACATGATGAACCGTTGGGTTTTGGGGGACCCTCTCTTCAGACACACCCACTTGATGTGGGACGGTGTGGGTGCCTAGGTGGGAGATGTCTTGGATAAGCTTGCAAACCAGTCTCTGAGACCAAAAATGTCCCAAACCTTTGTCGGCCTTTTTCAGCTCTTGTTGATGCCACAGTATCACCGAAAAGTAAGATCAATGACAAGTGCACCAGCAATATTAAAAACCTTTCCAAAGGCCCCTGTGCGTGCACGTGTTATTCAACGGCATATATCCAAATAAAGGAATAAATGTGTAATGCATGTAGATAGATATTATTATTTGCAAAGGAAAAACGCAAATACCACAAAGTATATACAACTGTGTAAAAAAAAACTATATATGTACATGTATAAGCATGATGTGGAGAGAGAGAGAGAGAGATAGAGAGCGAGGGATCGATATGAACTATAGATATACATCACCATTAATTAATATATATATATGCATATATACCCCAGCATAAAATCATAGTATCCCAGCTGCTACGGGTCATCCATAGATATCCATACCTGGTGGTGCAGAGATGGTGCCAAAGTGACTGGCCGAAAGCTAGGCTTTGATGGCATAGTCAACTTGCCAAGCATCCGTGGACAGATGAGTTGGGAACCCAGTTGGGATCGTCACTTGGGATCCGTGCGAGGCCTAGATAGGCTTTGCGATTCGCATCCGCCAACTCTATTTGATCCTATTATAACTATTGGTTTCATTGGTTTTCCTACCAAGTTCTGCAAAAATAACCTTTTGAATGTCTTGGGGAGAAACCGAGCTGCACTGGGCGGTTTGTCTGAAGATAATGCTTTCCAGTTCCCCAAGTGGTGCAACTGGGGAAGTAAACTTGAAACAATAATTGTCAGGTTTCTGAGCGACAGGAGGAACGTAAACCACACACACCTCTCCAGGCCCTCCCGCAAGGCAAAATTTAGCATGAAACCTTTGTATTTTAATCCGCCGACATTTTTTCAGACCTACTACAGTACTGGATGTTTCTGTCCATTGTATGGTCAAGGCGATCCGTCAGAATTGCCTAATGCCTTGAGGACGCTGGGTTGCAGATAGCGAGTTTCCGCCCTTTGGTTGATTGCTTCGCTTTGACGTGAGTGGAAGGAACCCAGTAGGGAATTTCAGAGAGCATCTTCTGAATAATATACATGTACATGTACATTCACACACTACATGCATGCACGCATGCATGCATGCATGCACCCACGCATACATAGATACATAGATACATAGATACAGAGATACATAGATACATAGATAAATGGATACATAGATACATGGATACATGGATACATAGATACATATGTACATAGATACATAGATACATGATACATAGATACATGATACATAGACAGATAGATAGATAGATAGACAGATAGATAGATAGATAGATCGATATATAGCTAGATAGACATACTTATAGATAGATAGATGGCTAGATACATACATGCATACATGCATGCATACATTCATTCATTCATTCATTCATTCATTCACTCATTCATTCATTCATTCATTCATTCATTCATTCATACATACATACATACATACGTACGTACACACATACACACACATACACACATACACACATATCCACATACATACATACGTACATACGTACATACATACAGACAGACAGAGACAGACAGACAGACAGACATGCATGCATGCATACATACATTTATACATACAGTACATACATACATACATACATACATACATACATAGATACATACATACACACACATACACACATACCCACATACCCACATATCCACATACATACATACGTACATACGTACATACATACAGACAGACAGAGACAGACAGACAGACAGACAGACATGCATGCATGCATGCATGCATACATACATACATACATTTATACATACAGTACATACATACATACATGCATACATACATATATACATACACACAGACCTGCATACCTGCATACCTACATACCTACATACCTACATGCCTACATACCTACATGCCTACCTACCTACGTACCTACGTACCTACGTACCTACCTACCTAACTACCTACATACATACACACATACACACATACTCACATACACACATACACACATACACACATACTCACATACACACATACACACATACACACATACTCACATACACACATACTTACAGTAGATACATCCATACATCCATACATAGATACATAGATACATAGATACATAGATACATAGATGCGTAGATACATAGATACATAGATACATAGATACACATATACAAAGATACACATATACACATATACACGCATACACAGATACAGAGATACAGAGATACAGAGATACAGATGTACAGAGATACATAGATACAAAGAGACATTACATATCATATCATACCATGCCATGCAGTGGTTTATACAGTGGTACATACATACCTACATACGTACGTACAGTACAAAGGTACATACATACCTACAAACGTACATACAGACAGACAGACATACATGCAAATATAATATACATACACCGACGGGTTTTTAAATACATTTGGCCGAATTTCGCAAGGTTGCGCATCAGGGAATAAACATTACGATTCTTAGTGCCATAGTTGTGAGGCTTTCTTAGTTAGATGGGTTCATCCAGAGGGTCCCCAAGTCTCCTTCCAGAACCGGCTTCTTCATCGTTGCGGGATTCTGCATCGTGGTGATGGTGTGTGGTTACTGGGGGTTCGGCAACTGGGTCACAGACAATGCTACTGGGAAGCAAGGAAAGGGATTGGGGGTGTTCAAGTGTAAGCAGTGTGAAGTATTTTCAAGTGGGCTGTTCAGTGGCAGGGTCATGGACGTCACCACGACATGAAGTTGGCAGTCTTTGATCCTCCAGCTTGGGATATACAGTGTTCTTCAAACATGCCGGAGGCTTTGCACCCAAGCCCAACACAACAACAAAGCCAGGAGAGGGTGACTCACCGCACAAAGTGACACAGATCTTCAGCAAAAGCAAACTGGAGCATCCATTTTGAAACATCTTTTTGGTCTATCCAATGTGGTCGACCTCGTGTTGAATCAAGATTGGAATAGTTGTCACACGCTTGCAGGTTCACAGACATTTCAAGTGAACCATTTGGGAATACCACTGTATTTTTGATTAACATTGATTAAGATAAGGAGTTATTTATTGGGGACTGTGATAACCCATTTACCTATGATTATCGGGATTCGCCTTACCACATGTGTGATTGAAACATACGGGCTGGGTACAGCAGATCTGGCTCTGAGGTCATCACTGGCATGGCACAATTTGCCGAAGGCTTTGTTTGCCTTTTCTCAGGTTGGCTCCTGGCTGAAACTTCTGGGCACCTCAAGAAATAGCAGATGAGCGCCAGGGATTTGTAAGTGGATGTTTTTGCCTGCGGACCGAAAACCGTGCTCGTAAAACGCACGTTTTTGAAAAACGCAATTTCGGAGGTTAGGTTGGGGTGGGGTGGGGGGGGGGCATGCCTCAACGTTCCTTGTACTTCGTACATTATAGTTTGCTACGCTGCAGAGATCTCTGGGATCGTTGCTACGTTACTTGTTACTGCGCTGCAGAGATCTCTGGTGTTGTTGTTGCTACGTGACATGATTCTACGCTGCTGATGGGGTGGGGTGGGGTGGGGTGGGGGCGCATGTCAACGTTCCTTGTACTTCGTACATTATAGTTTGCTACGCTGCAGAGATCTCTGGGATGCTGACTGCCAGCTGAAAACGGTGCATGCGTTGCAGCGATGACGGTGAAAAGGCAAAAAACGCGCCTCAGATTTTGCAAGGTTTTCAACATCAGAAATCAATTCGGCACTGTGGTAAAATCACCCTTTTTGGACAAAATGTGCACACCGATGAGCACGGTTTCCGGCCCGGCGGGATGTTTATGCGAGGCTTTGAGATGTTTTGAGATGGTTTTACATTGCTGACTTCACGGATCATTTGTGAAACGTCTCAGTTTTTGATTGCTGTTTTGAAGCAGATCAGGCTTGCATCACTGGTGAGTGAGGTATGAACGTAACAAAATGCAACTAATAAGCCAACACGAAAGCCAGGATTTCAGGGAGGGAATAGAGTCACCTACCTCAACGGGTGTAGAATATATATTGATGTATAGTTGTACGTGTATATACTATATATATATACACACATATTGTTTTGAATTTGCATGTGTATGGCACAGAAGAACCTATTATGATACAATATCAATAATATAGTTTATTGACTGAATGAAAACACATAATTTAATACAATTATTTACGTGTTATTGCGTATATGTATATATGTAGTTTGAATTGGTTTACTGCGTTTAACAGGCAGGATAAGATACGTTAGTATGTTCAATGTCTTACAACACAATTTGATACAACATAATATTTTTTATATACTACAATTTCACAGTGACAGACTTTTAAATGTTAAATCTTGGTAAATCTTTGTTTTTACTCCTTAATATTACATATGTGTTATCATTGAACTTGATTTAATTCGCTCGATACAATATAATGCAATCTTATTATCAGACCGTTTAATACTATGATATAGTTGAATACCGTTCAATGCACAGTAATACCATATATATAAATATATATATATAGTAATCTGTTGAAAAGGAGGAGAGTAGACTAGTCTATTTCTTTGGAGATGGCGGTGGAGATAGAGAGAGAAAGAGAAGCATATTGATATGCTGATATGCTATAATAAAATCTGTGTTTCGTTATTTAACATGCAATACAATATGATTCAATGTTATAGCATTGCACATTCTATCAAACATTGATATGAATTAAGTTTTCTGTTGTCATTTTGCGTTTTTTTTTTTTCCACATGTTTCTTTTTGTGCATCATTGTGCATTGGTGGTTCCTAGCGTTTCTTCTGCCAGTTGTCGCATCCGTTGGCGTGACCATCAACCTCCTGCACCTTGGACGACTGGGGCGAGGGGCTTGCTGGAGCAGATTCAAGGCTTCCATACTGGTTGGTGGTTTTAACCATCTTGAAAAATATTAGTCAATGGGAAGGATTATATTATGGAAAATAAAGCATGTCCATCCAATAGTTGTAACATGTTGTAAAGTTTGTTGTTCGATGACACTTGTGCGAGAAAGGTAGAACAAATGTCAGCATTGGTAGAAGGTAGCAATCATTGAAATTGAGGTTATAACAAAACCAACAACTGTGACATTATGATTTCTGAGGCGATTATATTCCGACCACCAAACCGACAGAAGGCATGCAAATAAACCCTTGGTGAAGTAGTTTCCTAGGGTTTTTGGCAACCATTCAAACTGTTTCCCATCCGCGGCGAGTCGGGGCTCAATCCCATGTCACACATTATGCACTGAAATCCAAATTTGACAACCTATGAAATTTCTGGCTATTATCAGTTGCAATGCTCACACAGGATTTCCAAATTATGTCCGGGGGCTTCTTGGGCACCAGAACGTTGGATCGGATAGGGATCGTCCGCCAGTGATCTCCAAAGGATCAGCTATCCATTGATTTTCTTCACAGTGATCAGTTTCTTCGAAAGCGTGGCAAAGGGAAGCCTGGCAGTGCCCTTGTCAAAGGCGGGGTGGTTCTTTCGCAAATTTTCCATTCCGACACGTTCCCTGTTGATTTGGTTTATTAATTTGCAATTATACAATGATTATATATAATATATAGATTGATATTTACATCGTGGACACCACCTTCTGTGCATTTCTGTGCGCAGTGCCGTTTCACTGGGTCCCTCTGTTTCGTGTTGCTAGTAAGGCTTATTAAGGTGTTAGTGAACCGTTTCTTGGCTTTAAGTAGAGTTTCATGATGCGTGCAAATGCTGAGCATTAATGGCTCTTGTCAGGTGAACATCGCATGCCGAGCAGACACTTGGTTTTCAAACGACTGGGCCAGCCAATGCTACCTTGCACAGTGGTGTGAATGGCACACCGCGCGCAATGCGCGATTGTGAGACTTTTCCTCATATGCGCAGCGCTTCATTCTTACAGTGGTTTATTGATGTTTATTGTTCATGTGGAACTCCTTCATTACATATATGTATACATATAGAGTGCCCTTGTAATCATTTGCATGAATCATTTCAAGGAATATGCCATGCAACCGCCTCAGAGCCACTAATAGCAAAGTTTGTCAGATAGCGCATCTCAGTATGTCCCGGTATGCCGTCTATGTCATTCTACTATACGTCATGATTCTTCATCTTTGTGTTGGTTTTGTTGCCACAATTTGAGCACCCCAGGTGAAGATAGGTGAACAAAAATCATCGAAGCCAGCTGTTGCCATTCTTTCGGTCCCAGGCTTTAGCGTTGTTCATGATTGTGGTCGGACTCCTCTTTGAATCTCCCAAGGCCAGCGCGACAGTTGATGTATCGGATTGTGTTGGATACTTCCTGCAGGTTCACCATGTTGGACAAGGAAATTGAACATCTATTTTCAGGTCATCAACGGGCTTTAGGTTGCACCCGTGCGTCCAAGAGCACATCCGGGTGGGTCCGGCTCGTCATCAGCTGTGGCACCGCAGGATGTGATCAGTTTGGTGTCGGCAATCTTTGGAAGCTGTAGCTGGGCCAGAGATGTGTTCCTGCATGTTCCTGCGTTGAAACATGTATTTGTAAGGATTTTAAGGGTTCTGGTGGTTTGTTATGGTTTGTTTATTTCATGATGATCCAGATGGTCCAGCGATGAATCTATGTAAAATACTGTAAGCACACATATTGACATTTTTGAGCCATTTGATTCCAACCACTTGAGCCTTCACAACTGAGGTCAGATTCAACCATCGCCGTGTTTTTCGGCCCGATCCCATTTGCCAGGATCCTCGAGCCGTGTTTCTCACTTACCTTTTGCCATGGAGGCAAAACTGGCGTGCCTGCCTGCGATTTAGGCACAGCGGCTGCTTGGGAGTCGACTGTGTTGAGTTGGCACCGGAGCCTGTTTGCTTTGGTGACCCATGCGAGTTCCTATGGACGCCATCTCTAAGGGATGGTGCTGGTTCGCCAGAGCATTCCGCTCCAGGCGCCTTTGCGGATGAGCCCAATGACGAAGCGACTCGACACTATGATGGTGCTGATCGAAGCTGCTCTGGCCCTGCATGGCGATGTGTAGCGTGTGACTCGACGAACTGGGAACCCCTATTTGGGGGATGGGGATGTGTGAGATGTGGATCCCGAGACTTCTATGACCCTATGGCTCCATTGAGATCTGTAACTGCTACTGGAACATGGATGTACATGCCACGCAGTAGTCATGACCATGTGTTGAATTCACCGCCGTCGTCGAGATCCTCTCAGACCTCTAGAAAAAGGAGACGCCGGAAGAATCCTGGACCTCCGACCGATGGTGCTGCGAGTGAGTTCCCTGAGTCAGAACCTATGACCCATGATCCATGTGTTGAGCCAAACGAAGTTTCAGGTGATCTACCACCACGTCCTAACCAATGTGTACAATCTGAACACCAAGGACGCCCTGTTCAACGCCGAGGCCCTGATCACCTTGGACATTCTGGACCCCGACAAGGACCCGGACGTTCTCCTCAGAATTCTCTAGGTCCCTACGTGCCTTCGAATGCCAAGGACAAGAGCTCAGTTGATGATGCAGACTGGAACTCCAGAAAAGGCCCTGAACCTGGAGTTCGCTGGCGCACTGGTCAAGCTCCAGCACCTCCAATTTGGAAGTATGAGAGCAATGACCTTCGTGCGTATAGCAAGTACTGCAAGAAGGTGAAAATCTGGGAGATTCAGATGCAGCCCTACGCTAGCAAAAAGGATCAAGTTCTTCTTTTATACAACAGCCTTACTGGTGATGCTGAGCAGGAACTGGAGCACCTTAGCATCGATGAGGTGCACAAGGACAATGGAGTGGACTTGATACTTGAGCGGCTGAAGACACCTTTTGAGCAGAGATCAGTTTTCCAGAAGCGCAAGTTCGTCTACGAGTACGAGAACCTGCGTCGATACCCTGGTGAGATGATTAGAACATACATCAGCCGTCTCCGTCGTGCCATCAGGAACCTCAAAGCAGTTGGAGTGGATGTCACAGCCTGCTATGATGGTGAGGCTTTGGGTTCAAGACTTTTGGACCGCAGTGGACTGACAGTCGAGAGCCAACGACTTGTGCTCATCGGCACCAATCAGAAACTTGAGCTGGAGACCATCGCAGAAGCTTTGACCTTGCAGTATCCTGATTTTCGTGGACCCCCTCCAGTTGCTGGGCGAGATGGACGTGAAAGCCGTGATGGAAAAGGCCAAGGCAAACAACAACGCCCTGCGTCTCTTGCTTCAACGTCCTCTGCAAGGGCATCTGCTGGCAAGGGTTCCTCAGCTTCTTCTTCTTCGAGATCAAGTTCCTCTACATCCTACCGCAATGTGTTTGCAGCGGAAGTGGATACTTTGGAAGCCATACAAGAGGACCAAGATCCCAATGATCCACCTCTTGACCAAGAACCAGATCCTGACGATGAGCAGGAACAAGATGACGAAGAGGAGCTGATCCCAGATGAAGATCCACAAGAAGATGAGATTGACCTCCATGAACTCAGTCAGGTTTTGACTGTGACGGCAAGAAGATTGGCTGGCTTGACTTTGGGCCGCAAGTACTCCGACAAGAAACCTGGGAGTTCTTCGGCTACCACCTCAGCTGCGATCGCAAAGCGAAAGCAGAGTTCTCATTGTTCTGCCTGTGGTGAACGTGGGCATTGGAAGGACGATGACATCTGTCCCATGAAAGGGAAGAAGACTGGCCATGGTAAAACTCATGAGCAACGTCCACCTTTCAAGCCAAAGACTTCGAGCGCTGCGCCTGGCCAAAAGATGCAACAAGCGTTTCCAGTTGTCCATCATGAATATGGCCACATGGAGATCAACGATGGTGAAGAGTTTGGCAATGCCTTTGCGTGTAACATGGTGAATAACCCCAGTTTTCATGTTCATGAAGTTCAGGCTTTTTCACCTACAAGTTTTGTTGGCAAGATGATCTTGGACTCGGCATGTCAACGTACCTGTTGCGGAGAATTGTGGTATCGTGAACATAGCCTTCACACGCTGCAGGTCTACAAGCTCAAGTGCAAGCAGGTCCCCACCTTAGACATTTTCCAGTTTGGCAAGGGCGAGGCTACTCAAGCACTTTTTCGTAGCTACATGCCAGTGGGGATCGGTCAGCAACCTTTTTTGATGGCAACAGCAGTGATTTCAGCAAATGTCCCACTATTGGGTTCCAACAAACTACTTGAGCGTTTGCGTGCAGTCATTGACATGGGGAAGGGCATGGTTCACTTTTCTGCTTTAGGTGTTACTGTTCCTTTGATTCAGATGGGTGGTCATTTTACAGTTGATTTGTTGGACTTTCCAACCGATGAGCCTAGCAAGCTGTCATGTTGGAAAGATTTCACGAAGTTAGTAGATTGGAAACAACCTGACCCTGAGCTGATTTTGCCACCTGCGAAGCATATCAACAATGATGACAGTGACACAGCTGCACCTGTTCAAGCAGAAGAGCCAGTGTCTACTTCAATCCGAACCCACGTGCCTCATGCGCCTGCCGCCGCCGACATGGTTGGTGAACTGGTGCACCCTTGTGGCAAGCCTTCATGCAGAGCATCGCCAAGTCCTATGTGATACAGATGGTCACGGCAGTGAGGCTGGGAATCCAGTCACGAAGATGGCTGATCCAAGCACTACTACCAGACCACGAAGAGCCAGTGGATCCAGACCAACATCACCAAGTATCCTGACCTTCAACCAGGACAACCCTGCGCCTATTGGCGTTGGCAGCGCAAAGGTGTCAAGAAGCGGGGTAGCTGGGTGATCTCACGATTCCTTTCTTGGGATCCCAGTGCACCAATGAAGTTGGCATGGGTGCGATCTGGCAACTCCAGCACATTGGTGAGCATTGAGCAACTACGGGCAGCAACGGGCTTTGAAGGATGGTCACCGTCAGAGGAGGACATCAAGGCCCTCAAGGACTCCAAGATTTCCTTCGAAGAGCACATGCTGAAGGACTTGGAAGATGAGACAGGTCCACAACCACCACAACATACCACTGAAGGTGACATTCAACCGCTACTTGAACCACCACCAACAATGATGGCCATTCCACCAACACCAGCAAGATCAGCTACTCCACTACCAGAAGCACAACCTACCATTACTACCATCCAGCAACTATCCAGCCCGACCTACCACCAACACAACGTTCAACAACAACGACAGCATACTACTAACATTTACCACTCTTATGGCAAACCACCAGCCGGCAGCAGAACACCTCGGACACCACGACGAGGTTCTTACAAACCAACACTACCAACAACCAACCAACCACAACGAGCACGACCCAGCCAGGAACTACTGGACATCGATCCACTACAAGCCACACAACCACCTACCGGGTCAGCAGACCCTATCCTACCTGACAACCAACAACCAGAGATCCAGAGCACTGGATCTCAACCACAACCACAACTACCTCGTTCAGACGCGAGCAATCGGCAGAGCAAAGCAGCATCGGAACCACGGCAATCCGATGGACAACAAGTTTCACAAACAACAGCTGAACAACAGCAAGTTTCACAACAACCTCAGGAACAACCTGAGACTATCACCACACAGCGTGAACAACACGCTGATACAACCGATCCTGTGATACAGCAACCACTACAATCACAATCTTCCTCGACACCACAGGAAGAACAGGCCACCGGCATGGACCAGAGTGAACTACCTCTACTACCAATGAAGCGGCCTTTTGAGGCCATGAGCTGTTCACTCATGCTCACAGACGACGGCATTGAACTTATGCCCACAGAATCGGACGGCACCACAGCTTTAAGCTATGGACCACAACACAAGCAACATTTTGTTGCCTACACACGACATCCACAACGGCAGCAGGAGGTCAATGAGATCGACATAGATCCCAACGAGTCAGACACAACACAAGAGTCCGACTCAGAAGCAGAACAACCACAACACATCAACCTACACAACAACGACCAATCAACTTCAACTACACACAACCTTTTTCAGCACAAAAGTTCCACAAGTTCTACTACAGACAACTTTTGTCATTCCTACACCGATACTACCAAGCACAACAGCAAGACACACGTACCACCACACCAACGGCTTACCAGACAGGAAGCCAAACAACTCGATCGCGAGATTCCCTGGAGGGAACTGATCAACTTGCCTCCCATTAAGCTGCAGAAGTACCTGGCCGCAATTGAGAAAGAGGCCATGAGCTGGCTGAAATGGAAGAGCATCACTCCTCTCTCCCGAGAAGAGGCCCGCAAAGTGCTGGCCGACAAAATTCTGGCCAAACGAGTGCTCAGAGCTCGTGCAGCCTACAGGGACAAGAACAGGGGGCAGGGCGAGGTGAAAGCCAAATGTCGCATAGTGGCATTGGGCCATAGAGACCCAAACATTTTTCTCCTTCAACGCACCAGCCCTACTCCAACAAGAACCACAGAGCACATTTTGTTGTGCTGCGCCGTGGCGGGGATGAACAAAGAGTTTGACAACACAGGCAAGAGCTGGTTAGCCTGGACTGGCGATGCACAAACCGCCTTCCTCCAAGGAACACAACAAGATGCGTGTCGTCCTCTACCTCTATACATGTTTCCACCAGTCGATGGTTTGATCGACAAAACCAACTGCTGGAAGTCACCACTCTATAGGGTAGAAGGAAACATATACGGCCTTCCAAATGCTCCATTCCTTTGGACACTGCATGTGACGAAGATCCTTGTTGACAAGCTGGGATACATCAGGCACTCTTGGGATTGCATGCTGTTGATTATGTACGACCAGCAAGGCTCTATCATGTCCATGGTCATGGTCTATGTCGACGACTTTATCGGCATCTACCGTGAGGACTACGACATCAACGAGGTCCACAGTGCATTCAAATGGGGAGATCTCGGACTTTTCCAACTTGATGAACCCAAAACCTTTAAAGGCAAGGAGATCACCTTCACTCGAAATGCCGCTGGACACGTCACAATGCGAATTTCCATGGCCAAGTTCCTCGAAACTGTAGAGCCCATGAAGATAGTCAAAGGAAGACTTCAACAAGATCCACCTCTGTCAGAAGCGGAGAGGAAGGACTACAGATCATTGTCAGGATGCTTGCAGTGGCTAGCATCACAGGCCAGACCTGAACTATGCCCAGCAGTTTCACTCTCAAATCGTGGTGCTTCAACAACCATTCAGGATCTGAAGACCCTGCAGGACGCCCTCGAGTTTGCCAAGCAGACGCCTGACCGAGGCATCACCTTTCAAGATGTACCAGTAGACAAGGATAGCGTGTTACTTACGTATACTGACGCTTCTTGGAACAATGCAGCAAGTTCCACGTCGCAACTGGGAATTCTGGTGGTACTTACCACTCCACAGGTGACAGATTGTTCTCAAAGGGTAAGCATTCTGGATTGGCGCTCTTGCAGATCGCCACGTGTTTGCAGGAGCACCTTGGCAGCTGAAGCATGTGTGGGAGACGAAGGAGCCGATAGATCAGCTTTCATCAACATGCACCTGAGCGAAATCCTGCACCAGACTCCAGCTCACCGCGTTGGATGTAAGTTGAACTACTTCCAGATCACTGACGCCAAGAGTTTGTATGATAGCGTGATTTCACCAAATCCAAGTTTGTCAGATAAACGTAGCATGGTGAACATTAGAGCAATGCAAGAATCGCTATCAGCATCTCAGTACCGATGGGTACCCACACTTTTGATGTTTGCCGATGGACTCACAAAGATTTCCACCAGTCTTCGGCAGACTATGAGCGATTGGTTGCAATGACCTTACGCCAAGCTGACAGAGGGTGAAGGCTCAAAGAAAAAACTTAGGAGTAACATTTTTGAGCCATTTGATTCCAACCACTTGAGCCTTCACAACTGAGGTCAGATTCAACCATCGCCGTGTTTTTCGGCCCGATCCCATTTGCCAGGATCCTCGAGCCGTGTTTCTCACTTACCTTTTGCCATGGAGGCTAAACTGGCGTGCCTGCCTGCGATTTAGGCACAGCGGCTGCTTGGGAGTCGACTGTGTTGAGACATATTATGCATATATATATATATAAAAATAAATAAATAAATAAATAAATAGTACACATACGTATATCACACTTGTCATGGCAAGCCTTCGGTGGCCCGTTTGGCCCTTTAATCTTTGCGGCGGAGGATGTGAATGAATATCAGATCAAATTCCATGCATGACATATTATGGAGGGGTCAAGATGTCACACCTGACCCAGATCTGTTTCCTTTCATTAGCGCCGCTGCGGGGAAGCATCGGAAGCATCAATCACCACGGGGCCAATGATTCACCACGAGGTCTTAGCATTTTCTTCCCGCTGGCGTTGTTCTACAAACTTCGTCTCTGGGCAGCACCGAATTGTGGGTTGAACAAGGAATGCCGATGCAAAACCGTTGGTTCATTTTGGTTACCAAATTCAATGTCTTGGAGATAGCTTGAACTATCTTGAACTCTTAGGAGGTGCTGTGTTTCTTCATTTGAAGTCTTGAGCACTGAAGAATCAGAATCATTGGGAGGAGCTGACCCTGTTTGTTACGTTTATTGACTCGTCGTTTCTCAGGCGCACAAGCTAAGAGAAACTTGGCATGAATAGATTGGATAGGGCAGGACACAAAGGAAGGTTAGCAGCATGTTGGGTAGGTAGCCTTCTTCCCGGTGTAACTGACCCTTCGGTTTGTCCAAAAAATGGGATATACCATGGTGCACCCTGAACACATGTTGAAATCCCATATGTTTTTTGCATCTCACGGCCATTATTTTATCACTTCATGGCCATTATCATTATTGTCCCTCATGAACATTTGCCATGGTCCATGGCCATGATTGGTTTAATGGATCCCTATGGATGCCTCATTCTGCCAACGAGACCCGTAGGCATAGGACACAATCTGGACGTAGTACCTACGTGGCGAATGGTGGCGCATGGTGGAGTTGCCTTGTGCGGAGTATCTCAATGGCACCCCCTGGGTATTTGGGGTGGGCTGGCAATATTTGAGAGCGTGCTGGCTTCCAATCCATTTTTCACTCATTGTATGAAACTGGGAATTGGCCTTTTTGGCTAATTAGTTGTAGGGGAGCTCTTGCGGTTTTTTTTTGGGGGGTGATTGGGGAACTTCGACGAGCCCCTCCCTTCACGGATTGAGGGAAATCAAGATCAAGGATGCACAGGGCAATCCACTCATTATTCCATTTGTTCCAACGTTGCTAGGGACGTCTCGGGGCCCAAGCTACTCAACGGTGTTGCCCTGTTATCAAGAAACGACCTGCTGAGGCAATTGCGATGCTTTTCGGGTTTATAAACGAGCTGCAGAATATGATCGGAGAGAAAAAGCAGGGTCCTGGTCCTGGTTTGAAAGGCATTCTTCCGAAACCGTGACGCCCCGCAAGGAACAGATGGAACAGATGGAACAGGGTGCCTGGATGTGCCTGGAGCCCGAGCATGCAATGTCGTGTCATAAATGTTATGGAAATTTGTCTTTGCCATTTCGTTCATGTGCAAGTTGTGCAAGTGCATGTTCATATATGTTCATATGGGGCTCAGATTGCTTCAATCGTGGTCCATTGATGGCCCATGGTGCAAAATGCATCAAAATGCAAGATTATCGAACTGCATTCCCTTTACCTACTGGATCCTACTGGTAAAGACTTGTAAACCACAGCGGGAATCTCAGTGTGACGATCAGAGATTTCAATCCAAAGTGATTTGACGCTTCAGACGTTTGCCGGAGAGCGCGAGAGTTTGCTGCCGGATCAGCCGATCTTATCGCCTCAACGAAACCGCTGCTCAGCAGAGTCCATGCAAGTACACCCGCATACGGATCCTCATGTGCCCACATCGTTTGATGACCCAACATCCAGGTCATATTTGCTGGAATGACACTGCTTCCCTATATAGATGGTTTAAAAGTTTAGCATGCTTTCTTGTTCGTTTTCCCAATTCAGACCAGCAGCACAACTAGATAAGACATGTGGCATGATATAATTAGAAACTCCCAGCTGGTTGGGAACTTATAGCAGCCCGGCAACGTACAGCCAGACAGCTATGCCAACTATGCTAAAAAGCAGGAAATGTGGCGTGATGCTCATTTGTTTTTGCTCTCAGACTCTCAGAGCAAACAAACCGTGATGCCGTCATGCAGCTGTGGTTTGGAGAGCATAACTGCTTCTCCACAAAGCAAATGGAAAAGATGTGGATGTGCAGTGTTGAGTGAACCATTCACTGGGCATGGGCCATGAGAGCCAACTTGATGAATGCAACTGCTCAGTCCTGCTTCGATACCCTGAAACCTGAACGCACTTCGCTCAGAGAGCCGGCAGGACATCCAACGAGCTGTTTCCTCTGCGCGTGTTGTGCTGGGCTTGGTCGGTTCTTTCAATGGTGGGCTATGATTTGGGATGCAAGGATATATTCAATATAATAGAGTGACAATATGGATAGAGATAATACATGCATAGCATATTTATGTACATTGTAGTTCAAGGGTGTGTTTGAGACGTACATGTTTAGATCATACATATTACTTGATTGCCAGTTGCCTAGTTGCGATTGTGGAACGTGTTGCAGCAGGGATTACTAAATATCCCTATCAGCTGGCCAGTTGCAGGGGATGACAGCCTTTCTTTTCACACCATGGACTCCTACTTTGCGACCAGGTGCTTCCCACACCAGGATAGATTAATGCAGTAGATCAATGCAATGTGTATCATGATATATCATGATATATCATCATATCATCATTGAATCATGAATGTTTGCTCTTGGTCCAATCGTCCAACCCAGACATTTTGTTTGCTATGGCATGCTGGCCGTTGAATCCCTTGAGGTGTTGGATTTCACTGGCCCTTCTCATGACCTTGGCACCAAAGTGGCTGAGGCATGAAAACTGGACCCAGGCTGTAAGGATCTGTAAAGATACGTAAGTTGAAACACATAAGGATACTATTTGGGAAGTAATTTGAACCATTTTGAAACATCCTCATGTGTTGAACGTTCCATTCTTATTGACACAGCCGTACACAGCCACGTTGTTCAACTTAACATTTTGCATCAGTCATTAAAAAACAATTGAATCAGCATGAACCAGCCAGTAATGGCACCAGCAATACCAGGAGAACAGTGACCCATCGCGACACATGACCAGGCGTGCATCGCAGCAAGAACGCACTTGATTGCAGCTTGTTTCGAGTTGGGATCGAAGGGTGCAGGCCGGTTCGAAAATTACCATTTTTGTATCTATAGTTGAAGATGATGTATGAAGTGATCGATTGATGCTGGTTGCTGCGACCCAAATTCCGCAGCTTTGGAGTTGCTACGAACGGAAGTTTAGGTCAGCCGGTCTGTCGAAACTGCGCCTGGGTTCCTTTGTTTGCATTCTGCATTGTGTCCACAGTTTTTACCCTTCGCCAAGGACAATACAGGAGACATCATGTTCTCAAAGCAAATGAAGGACCCTTGCGAAGTGATGCAGCTTCTAGACAAGAGTCGGGGTAAGTGCAGCCAAGATGGAAATCAAGTCGTTCATGTTTCATGAGGTCACCACAGTCCCGCAGGACAGCCTGGATGAGAGAGCCAAGGCATTCCATGAGCCCTGAAGCACGAAAAGAGATACAGTAACTGGATGTAAATGGGGGATGAGGATTTCCCTTTCCTTATCTACAGGATATTAAATGGGATCCTATATGATCCTATGACATATCGTATTCATAATATATATATATATATACACCCTATATAATTAACCTAATACTAATGTTGCCTACCACTGGGCCTACCACCACAAAATTCTTTGGCAGCATCTTCGGCGGGTGAACCCACACCAAACGACAAGGGTTGTCGCCGACGCGCATGTGAGCAAGATTTGCAGAGATTGGCAGGTTTGTACACGAGATAGTGATTCCCCACCTGCCAGGTGAGGGTTGTTCGATTTTATCAGAGCTGTTCTCCTCCTCCTCCTCCTCCTCGGCTAGCTGTCCTCCTCCTCCTCCCCCTCTAGTTTCTCCTCGACCATGTCTGCATCAACTTCCACCTCCACTTCCGCCTTGCCAACTCTTCGCCAAGCTCTTTGACAACTCTCTTCGCCAAGCTCTTTGCCAACTTCCCAGCTCAGTGTGCACTGGGACCTCAACCTGGGACCTGCCCAGCTCAGTGTGCACCGCTGGACCTCAAGCTCAGTGTGCACCGCTGGACCTCAACCAGGGACCGTCTCAGCTCAGTGTGCACCGCTGGACCTCAACCTGGGACCTGCCCAGCCCAGTGTGCACCGCTGGACCTCAACCTGGGATTTGCCCAGCGCAGTGTGCACCGCTGGACCTCAACCGGGGACCTCCCCAGCTCAGTGTGCACTGCTGGACCTCAACGGGCAGATAGAATGCCAGAAGATATGCCAGATAGAATGTCAGATGGAATGCCAGAAGATATGCCAGATAAAATTCCATGAGATATGCCAAATAGAATGCCAGAAGATATGCCAGATAGAATGCCAGAAGATATACCAGATAGAATGCCACAAGATATGCCAGATAGAATGCGAGAAGGTATGCCAAATAGAATGCCAGATAAAATATCAGATAGACTGCCACAAGATATGCCAGATAGAATCCCACAAGATTTGCCAGATAATATGCCAGAAGATATGCCAGATAGAATGCCAGATAGAATGCCAGAAGATATGCCAGAAGATATGCCAGAACATCTGCCAGAAGATATGCCAGATAGAATGCCAGATAGAATGCCAGAAGATATGCCAGAAGATATGCCAGAAGATATGCCAGAACATTTGCCAGAAGATTTGCCAGATAGAATGCCAGAAGACATGCCAGAAGATATACCAGAATATATGCCAGAAGATATGCCAGATAGAATGCCGGATCGAATGCCAGAAGATATGTCAGATAGAATGCCAGAAGGTTTGCCAGTAACAAATCGATGAATGTCATGGTGGGGATCACTCGAAGTAACGTAATGTTGTTTAGTTCCCTGATGTTTTCTTGTGATTTTGCATGATTTGGATTTGGCACTTCGCCTATTTCATTTCCGCATGTTTTTGCATAAGGCTATCTTAACAATCCTCAACACGGGTATTTATGTATGCTCGCCGCTGCTGCCGGCAGTCTTGATTATTGATGGCGATGAGAGAGGGAGAACATATTGTAACAATTTGGTAACACGTACAAAATAATTACCAGTTTTTTGATTCATGATAAGTATACTGCAACATGCACACACCGACTTGTATGATGGTTTTTGCCCCTGTTGCATCACTGTACTGGGATAGTCCCGGATCACTGCAGCTTCCTGTTTGAACCCTGGAGGCTGCAGGCGTGGTGTTGCTACTCCACTCCGGCTATGTTTCGATGCCCACGGACTTTGGGGTTTCCTTGCGGTCACTGAAGATGCGGGCGACAAACATGGATTCACTCATGTTTTACTTCTTGATAGATACTTGTACATAAAACATCATAAAACTCTCTCTGGTTCTCTCTCTCTCTCTGTAATTATTTGTATATGGGTGACACGGCCATTTATTTTTAGATACACATGTGCATATTACTTTAGTCTTATATATAGTTTGTGTATGTTTGTCTATTGAAATAAATAAATAAATCAGTATATATTTATTTATACATATGTATATATATATATACATTATTTAGTTTTACATATACATATACGCTGTGTACATACTTGTCATACTTACACACACAAAAAAAAAAAAAACATACAGCGACCCATTTTTGAATGCCCTGGTGCTAATTCCAGTGCCCAGGTTTGGCGCTTGGTGCGTGAACTTGATGACCGCTTCAGCTGCTCCACACGGAAAGTGGATGTCTACACGTACACGCAAGGCTGCTCACTGGATGAAAAGATGACTATATAATTTGGTGGATATTGATGATATTGACGGTATCTGTTTATAAAGTTGTGTTAGGTGCCCAGGTCTGAGCATGTTTCTTTTAGGAAGAGAGCATGCGAACTGACCCATTTCGTCCTCCAGGAAAGTCGCATAGTGAAAAAACATGATGACATTCCAATCATCGTTTTGCTGCTTGCCTCTGTAGCAGGATTTGTGATGAGTGGAACAAGCTTGCTGACCGGCACCAAGACCACCATCAAGGACGAACAGGCATGAGGTTGTCACGGTTTGCAAACTATCATGTGGGAGATGTGTTTTGAGTTTAGCAACTCTCTGCGGCCGGTGTAAGGTGCGATGGTTTAATGTTCCACCAGTTTCAACAATTAGCCAGCTTGATGCAATTTTGTTTGCGTAGGCGTATGATGGTATATATAATGTTGAATATGCATGAACACACAGGTATTCGACAATCGTTGCATGATATCTCCCCATTTGTGCCGCCTATGGCCTATGTTTTGTTATTGTTTTTATAGGGCAAACCCTCTGGAAGCCCGGGCAAAAACATGTTCACCACATGTCATTACAGAATGTACAGCTCGTCATATAGATCCTCGTTCTGTTGGTTTGGACTCGTTTATTTTGTGAAATCAAGATGTGACCTCCCCATTGGATTCATGTCTATTCTATGTTTGTTGATTTGGTACTTTCCTGAAATGGGGGATCCCCAAGTCACACTGGGTTTCAATACTAAATATGGTCAAAGTTGGATGATTTGAGGATAATTACCTCCATGTTAGGAAAGCTCCATTTTTCTCATTCTTTTAGGTGTTCCCCTCCCCAGTTTCCCCATGAGAATCCGCCACAAGCAAGGAGCTGAATGCCGCTGGCGCTCCCTTTGTGCTGGGCGGCGTGCGGCCACAAGGTGTGCGCACAGAGGACCGTGCAGAAGCACCGCATAAGGACGAGAGCCTTGGAGAAAGTTGTTGGGAAAAGATATGGCGATTTTTAGGGGAACATAACTACAGAACTTAGTTATGATGTACATAAATACATACATACATGCATACATGCATACATGCAGACATGCATACATGCATACATGCATACATTACATTGCATTACATTGCATTGCACTGCATTGCATTGCATTGCAATACAATACAATACAATACATATATATATATATATATATTATATTGTGATATGTGGGTCTGTCTGAAAATGGGGTGTACCCCAATATACCTCAATATAGCAGTTTTGAATGGCAACATGAGGGTCGACGAGAGGATTTTGCTCTACCCTGAGAGACCCATTTGGAGACCATAAATATTCTTGACATATGGGCGTGTTTGAACATGGGGAATAATTACATGCGTAAAATGCCAATTTTGACGTAGATTTTGAGAATTTAGAGATCTCTTGAAACTATTTCAATGTGGATGGTTGGGGTTCTGATGCATGGCTTTTTGATAAACCATCAATTTTGGGGTTGTCCTGTCAGGCCCAAGAATAGTATGATACTGTATGAGATTAATCAATGCACCCAACCAGGACTTCTCCTTTTCAAATGGAGTGCAACGAATTTGCTGAACTCAGGAACTCATCAATGATCGCCTTCCCTGGTCTAAATGTTGACCGTCAGGTGGTCCGCGGTACTTGTGGCTACTCGTTTGAAGTGTTGAACTGGGACAAGGCAGGCAAGAGGTAGAAACTAGCAGGCAATATCAAAGATAGAATCTGTAGATCTATGGTTTGAACATCGCTCTCAGGCAGTAGTGGTGGACACTAGGTCTCTCCAAGTTCTGATGGCGGCTTCACTTTAGTATACTTTAGGAGTTTACACAGGTACGTATATATAAAAGATATACATATATATATATATATGATTCCCACGGCCAGCCATAAGGCCTCATGGACCAGATTGATCCATATGGTGCCAACTTTCTCTTCAAGGAGTCTTGGGCCCTCCTGGGTGTTTGGTCCCAGTCTGTGTGGTCTGACAGTGCAACTCTAATCAATCATACTGAAGAAGCACGAGGAAATCGTCTTCCTCAGTTTTTTAATGGGATGTGCTTTGTTACTCACAGGTCCGTTGCTCAGGATCCATTTAATTTTCATATTCTCATTGTCAGCGGGAGATGGACATTGTGGCCTCATGACTATTGGGGCAAATGCAGCTGAACCCAACACCAAGCATGGAAAAATGACTCTTGGTTATAGCGTCAACCCATGGTGCCTTTATTAGAGGCAAAGACAGATCAGCGCACAAATGTGCAGAGTCACTCGCAAAATCGTGCAAAGGAAATGGGCCCAACATGGCACAACAGTTACTAGCCATGGCAAATTGGAGGGCAGAAATGAAGGAAACGACGGTCGGTTTTGCTCACGACTGTTTGTGATTATTTGAAATTTCTGGGTTGATCCAATGGGGCCCTTTATTGGACATGGCATGCATCTTGAGAGTACTTACGCACCTGCCAATCAAGGGCTGGTTCCTTTGCAGGACTGGTTCCTGGTAGTGGACAAGAGGCCAGAAGAGCGACTTGTTTGCATGTGTTTTACTGTATTGTCATGTATTGTCATCGTTCTAGCTCCTACCGACCTTCATAATGATCCTGAAGTCGACCCACGAACCCAGCGAAAAGTATTCATGGTACCAACATGTACCAAGTACGAATGGATAGGCGCATTTGTTATGTTGAGCCTCGCTATGACAAGCTTCGTCCATGGATCATTCTCATCCATCGCTCATGTATGCTGTGAGTTGGATGCCCAGGATGACCAGGCAGGAAAGCGCTCAAGCATCTCGATTGTCCGGGCTGCTTGGCTGCATCGATGATCCATGCATTCCATGCATCATTTGTATCATATGGACATGATCGGAACATTTGATTTAAATCAACTTCGGCATTGCCTGGCCGTATATCCAGGTAGCAGGTCTCCTTCCAGGCAAATGTCCAGCGCACTCCAAGAGCAGTCTTTGTTTTTTTCGCAGTCGTGTTTCCTTCTGCCTGATCTGCATGCAGTTCTTCGGTATCTTCAGTGCGTTTTCCTGAGGATTGGCATGAGCTTAGCTGGTGGCGGGGGACATAGCCTTATGGTCGAGCAGAAGAAGATTCCTCCGCCGGGCTGGGGTCCGAAGGACGTCATGACTTGGCACATCTTGGCACCATCATGTACCGAAGGACGTCACTCAGTTTAGCTGCTCAGCCAGATAAGAATTTACCCTCTGGTAAACTAACATAGCTATGGAAAATCACCATTTTCAATGGGAAAATCCACTATAAATGGTCATTTTCAATAGCTATGTTAAATTACTAGAGGGTAAGAATCCATAAGAATCCCGTAGGCAAGATCAGATAGGCAAGGTAGGCAAGACAGGCAAGAGGTCCCCAATTGGCCAATCGATCTTGAATTGTGCTGAACACATCAAGCGAGTGGCGCATGAAATGTCCTTTTTGCAAATCTTTGCACACCATTTCTGCCAGTTGAAGATTTCCAGAAGAAAGATTGGAGGATATTTCCCGATGATGTGCAGGCACCATGTCTTATAAAAACTGGTGATTTTGCCCGGAGACCATTGCTTTCCAGGAGCGCATTCGACAAGAGACCTTTGTCACCAAGGTGCCCTTCCCTTCTTGTGAAGCCGCTATTATTACTGTAAGTCTCCTCGGTTTAAGAAGTTTACATTTAGTACCCAATTCATATCCATCAATATCCAATAATATAATATAATTTAATGTAATATCCATATATATAATTATATATATGCAGCGATCACTATCCATCATAATCAATCATGTCTCCACCTCAGCCAACCTTCCCATTCATCGAAAGAAGATCGACTTGCGCAGGTCTTCGTGGCTGTGGCCGACTCGCAGCAACAGGTTGCGGCTTTGCGGAGTTGGATGGTTGAGGTGAACTACCCTCTGGTAAACTAACAGTTTGCTGTTGAAAATGGCCATTGAAATAGTTGATTTACCCATAAAACATGGTGATTTTTCCATAGTTATGTGGCTGTTTACCAGAGGGTACCATGGAGCCCACGGAGATTTGTTTCGTTTTTTTGGGGCAGGAGAAGATGCACCTGGTGATGAATGCTGGGCCTGGAGGTGTTGGTGACCGCTATGAGGGCACCGCCACCATGATGATTGAAGCAGCTCACTGCCTACTGGAAAATGAGGACGCAGGCCGCAGCTCCACATGTCTGGAAAGACATTTCCTGTGATCAGCCACTTGGTGGCTTGACAATGGATAGAGGCAACATGAGGGAAATTGAGGGAAGCCGCTGCTCCAAGTCTCATTGCATTCTACCTGTGTGGCTGCTATCATTTTGTTTCGACTTAGTTGCTCCAATCCTTGAGCCCCAACACCAGACCAGGCGCCAAACTTCGCAGTGGCTGGGGCACACCAGTGTTCCACTTGGCTCATCTGAATTTCTTCGAGCGATTAGACCCGGAGCTGAAAGTTTTAGAGATTAGTGTAGCTACCAGACAAAATTCCGTCTCTTTACCGTCAGCTACTATGATCATTATTACTAAAAGCAGACTTGAGGGTTGGGTTCATGTCATACATATATACATATATATATATAATATCATATGTTCATACACAGCCAAATTGCAATTTAGCTCGGACAGTGCCTAGCCGATAGCAGCTTGCATTTGCGACAGCATCGACACCCAGGAACGCTTGGGTTTTACCTGTCGCATCTTCCCAGGAGCACCCAGTAGCTGCTTGCTTGCACCACAGAGGTAGAATTGATGGAGACTCCTCAGGATAGAGGACATTCTGGCATGATAATCAATGATGATTAACGATAATGACAATGATAATGATAATGATAATGATAGTGAAAGGTTGTCAGAACTTCTTCAACGCTTGAGAAGCAAACTTGCCTTTCACCTATGATCACCTATGTGCTACTCGGTGTATCAAGCTAAAATGCCTGTGTGCACGAGGAGGCGGAGAGTGTAGTGTAGGCAGTGTCAGGAATTTGGAATTGCATGTGCTGCACTCCTGAAATTATCCCAGATTATGATTGTATATAATTGTATTTATATATACATATACAGTACAACACAGTACAATACAAATACAAATAAATACAAATAAATACAAAAACAATTACTTTACTTCGTGTGATCCCCACCATGACATTTATACATTTTCTTACTGGCAAATCTTCTGGCATTCTATCTGACATATCTTCTGACATTCTATTTGGCATTCTATCTGGCATATCTTCTGGCATATGATCTGGCATATCTTCTGGCATATCTTCTGGCATTCTATCTGGCAAATCTTCTGGCCTTCTATCTGGCATATCTTCTGGCATTCTATCTGGCATATCTTCTGGCATTCAATCTGGCATTCTATCTGGCATATCTTCTGGCATATTATCTGGCATTCTATCTGGCATATCTTCTGGCATATATTCTGACATATCTTCTGGCATATCTGACATATCTTCTGGCATATCTTCTGGCATATCTTCTGGCATATCATATCTATCTGGCATATCTTCTGGCATATTTTCTGGCATTCTATCTGGCAAATCTTTTGGCATTCTATCTGGCATTCTATCTGGCATATCTTCTGGCATATTATCTGGCATTCTATCTGGCATATCTTCTGGCATATCTTCTGACATTCTTTCTGACATTCTTTCTAACTTTCTTCTGCACATTCTTTGTCCCATATCTTCCTACATGAGGTCCGGCAGGGAACACTTGGCGTGGATACTCGCGGTTGAGGTCCGGCAGGGAACACTGGGCGTGGATGGTCGTGGTTGAGGTCCGGCAGGGAACACTGGGCGTGGATGGTCGTGGTTGAGGTCCGGCAGGGAACACTGGGCGTGGATGGTCGTGGTTGAGGTCCGGCAGGGAACACTGGGCGTGGATGGTCGTGAGGTTGAGGTCCGGCAGAGAACACTGTGGATCGCGGGTCGCAGTTGAGCAAGGACGACGAGGACGACGAGGACGACGAGGAGGACGAGGAGGAGGAGGAGGAGGAGGAGGAGGAGGCGGAGGAGGAGGAGGAGAAGGAGGAGGAGAAGGAGGAGAAGGAGGAGGAGGAGGCAACTGACATAAAATCTAACAACCCTCACCTGGCAGGTGGGGAAATACAAACACAATACACTATATATATATATAATATATATACAAATACAAATACAATACACTATATACATATATAATATATACACAGTCTATTATAGTCCATCCACCATGCTGAACTCCCAAAAGTTGCGATTCTGCCACTGGGGCCCAGAAGCTGAGGCGACTTTATGCACCGCGTTTTTTCCGCTTCACTGCCCCTTGCAGATGGCAACCCTGCGACCTGATCACAACTGGTGGATCAATGTGGCTGCACTGTACCCTGCAGAATGCGGCAGAAAACGTTGCGGCATACAGCGCGCCTGTCACCAGGGGCAACTTGCAACTCGGTGTTGAACAAAGTGTCAGTCCAGCAGTCCAGCATGAGCTTTGTTTGGTGCTGGAAGTTTGAGACTTGGGCGTTATATTATTTACCGGCATTCAGACGAAGTCATGGAGAAGAAAGTCCACATTGAATGGAACATGATCCAATCCCATGTTTTGCGCGCTTTTCCCTGAAACTGCTGTGTTTTCTGCCAAGTGGTTGTGACATTCCGCTCCGATCTTCATCAATTGCCCAGGCGAAGGATACGAAGGTGGCAGCGGAGGTTCATTGATGGGTGATGCTGGAGATGTTGGAAGCTGGGCAGCAACGGGGCAGCTTTGGATGCATGCCGTAAGACACCATAAGAGCCGTTGATTGCAGGTAGTATTTGTGAAGTTAGATGTCAACATGGTAACTTTACCTCATTATGTATGCCGTATGCCGTATACTAACTATCTACTCATTCATTTTCTCCACCTTGTGTTTGGGGTGTTGGGAGCAACACTGCCAGATGATAAGATCGTATCACATGCCTACAGTGGCGTGTATAGTTGCCTCAGGCCATCCTGTGGTTGTGATGATGCTGCCAAATGATATCGATGTGATGCTGGATCCACATTGAGCCATCCCAATTTGTGATGTATCACAAGCCCAATAGTTGACTATATTATCTTCGATTTTGATTGAAAGTCAATGTCATCGAAATGGAAAGCAATGGAAACCACACATTCCCACCGAGTCACATTTTCTTGACCAACTGATCCAACTGGCTGTGGAAAAAGGACGGAAAAGGAGCGGAGCGAAGCCGCCGGAGCTCCCAGCAGCGGCACGGAAGTTGAACAAACAGTTTGTTCCATTTAAAGATAAAACATGATAAAACAAGGGCATGTGACCCCCCCTGGCAGTTTGACTCGTATTATTGTGATTTATTGTGGATATGTGAGAAAAACACTCTTGTCACCTCGGTTACATGACTGTTTTGGTCTCCAGCTGAGGTGCAAGAGCTTCGACATTTAAAGCGTGCCTTGGTGACAGGGAGGGGTTAGTTCCACTGTGCGTTTTGAAAAAACATCACGTGACTAGGTAACTAGGTTATTGGATGTTATTGGTATTATATATATGGTATTATGCTATGTTTATAATATTTTATAGTTATGTTATGTTTCAATATGTAACTGTATGTAGCTACTATATTATTTGCAATATTATGACATTGCTTTTACAATGCAGCTTGTTTTGTTTGCTATCGTGCTGCCGATAGAATGCATGGCAGCACTGTTCTAAGACTATGACTAGCAACCTCTTGGTCGGCCGCACCTGACTTGTTAGCCTTCTCATGTCACTGAGGAAAGACCAGCAACGCAGATCGGAAGAAACTCTTCAAGGAACTGCAGCTGAGAAGCTTGGAAAAATTGGCTGGTGGATTTGCAAGTGGTTGAAGATGTTTCAAGTATGTTCCAGTGATGTTTAGCTAAAGGCTCATGCATGATTTGCCTGAGCACATTGCAGGGGACCACCAGCTAGCTGCCAACCGCTTAGACTTAGAGTGGGGACAGCAGCCCAGCCCTGGTCCGTTCTCAGGATGGCATCCCGACAAGAACGCAGCCTGGCGGCATCAAGCACTGCAGCGTGGTCATTCAAATAACATCCTTATAGGAGGAAGCCCCTTGTCTCAGACAGGTTGGCGATGAAAGGCGGGCATCCGAGATGTGCGTTTGCTCAGTTTCAGCACTTGCTGTGCAGACTTGGGGTCATGGATGGTCATGGAGTGTTCTTGGACGGTGACTGCTAGATAATGACCGGTTCAAACTCTTGGCCTTGATTAAATTACATCGATTAGCCCTCATGGAGATTTGCTCATACCCTCATGCAGTGAGAATCATGTTGCATCACTTTTTCTTCGTGAACTTTACCAATCTAATTTGTTGGCCAAGCCTGAGTCTGAGGTGCATAGGAAGCCGTGCGCAGTAATTATACTGGATGATCTTGATGATGCCTGCGCACTCCGCAACGCCAGAGTCATTTTAGAGTATAACTGTGTAACTTTTGCGCCTGTCCTAACTTGTTTGGGTGTTTTTCTATTATTGTTCTCCTATGAAGAGTTGACGTATGCCCATTTTGAAGACTTTCCTCTTGGCATGGGCAATTCTCAGGGTCTAGGTCAGAAAGATTGTCCCCATACTGCGGTCATTGAGTCATGTGAGGACCACACTCTGTGGTTAATTAACTTCCGGTTATGCAAATCCTGATGTTATGGTTATGTATACTATGTTATACTATATTATATCATTAGAACCTCAACATTATCCAATGTGACATAGTGTCACCGGGCAAATCCGGAGAAGTCCAAGGGTTTTATCGCCACGCATCCGACGATGAAATGTTCGGCTCGCAAGTTGAGCGCCATGGCCACGTTGCTGCGAAGGGTGCCCAACTTGTGCCGAGACACAGCTCACTTCAGCAGCCGGGTGGCAATATGGGGATGATGAAATGGGTAAAAATTGGAGGAAACATAGGAACATTGGGTAGTCTCTTGAAAACGGAAATTGTTTGATGACATGCATAACAAACAATATACTACGTCATACTACTGTAAAAAACAACCAAGAGAGAACAATAATGATCAAACAACAATCAGCATCAAGGAAAATCTAATGAACATTGTCTGAGTACTGTTGGGAACCTCCCAACCAGATTTGACCAACACTTCAAACGTGGAGCGTCCCTAAAGTGAGGCAAACAAGCTGATGCTCGACTGCAACGGGCGCTGGATGACCTGGAGGTTTCACAACCGAAGTTTGATGACTCGGCTTCTTGGCTGAAATGCCCCTGTAGCATCCTGCCATTGAACCTTTGTGGGGGGCAGTGCATGTCCCCTGATTTCGTATGGAGCAACCCTCAGCTGTTTCACCCTGGCACGCGAATTAGTGGCTGACTGTGGCGGGTATGCGGCTCTATCGTTTTGTCGCATGCCTTCTTCATTCACAACAGATAGGGTACTAGTATGTAATTAATACATAGATATATAATTATATCCAATATCATTACTCAGTACAATATAGACATAGATACATAGATACATAGATACATGGATACATAGATACATAGATACATAGATACATAGATAGGTAGATAGGTAGATAGGTACATAGGTAGATAGGTAGATAGGTAGATAGGTAGATAGATAGATAGATACATACAGACATACAGACATACAGACAGACAGACATACATTAGATACATTAGATACATTAGATACATTAGATACATTAGATACATTAGATGCATTAGATACATTAGATACGTTAGATACATTAGATACATTAGATACATTAGATACATTATGATACATTAGATACATTAGATACATACATACATGCATGCATGCATACATACATACATAGATAGATACATAGATAGATAGATAGATAGATAGATAGATACATAGATAGATACATAGATAGATACATAGATAGATACATAGATAGATACATAGATAGATACATAGATAGATACATAGATAGATACAAAGATAGATATATAGATAGATACATAGATAGATACATAGATAGATACATACATAGATACATAGATACATACATAGATACATAGATACATAGATATATACATAGATAGATGCATAGATGCATAGATGCATAGATGCATGCATAGATGCATACGTACATACATACATACATACATACATACATACCTACATACCTACATACCTACATACCTACATACCTACATACCTACATACCTACATACCTACATACCTACATACCTACATACCTACATACGTACATACGTACATACGTACATACGTACATACGTACATACGTACATACATACATACATGAATACATGAATACATGACAGCATACATATAAATCATTATAAATCTTTCCCTCTCTCTCTATATATATATATGTATTATATTAATCTTTACTGTACAGTCTATACATGTTCATGTTCCAAACAGCAGCGGCCAAACACAGCACATCTCCCTGAGTCCAAGTCTCAGCGCCAAGGAAACGCAGATCACCGATTTGCTGCACGGCAATGTGGTGAAGTTCCGTTTCGCTTTGCCTCGTTTGGATCCGGACAGCTTCCGAGAGGCGGTGAACATGTCAAATTTCATCAAACTTCGTGGGGAAGTAAAAGCTATCATTTGAAGGTTGTTTGTGTCATTTTGTTTGTATCATTGAAAAAGGATGTGACCATGTTTTCTTTGGTCAGTACAAGTGTTTTACAGAAAATTGATGGAGGTTGTTACGTATCATTTTGTATCCATTCTTTGCGTGCTTCAAAGATCTTGAAGCAGGTCCAGATGGGTCCAGACACACTCCCAGATCCGGCTGATCTTGGCCTCAGGTGTTGGCTCAGGTTGATCAGAACAAGGAGATCCTGCCGCTGAGCAGTGATGGGGCAACAGTGTTGATGGAACCAGGGCGTCGGGTCAGCAGGTTTCGATTCGATATGATTTTACATCAGAAGACCCTTTGAAGACGTGAAACAATGAGAACAATAGAGCAGGGCTTTAAGATAGAGTTGTAATTATGATATGGTGAATGTTTGATTGTTGATGTGTGATGCACCATTTGTCAATCTTTGCCGTCTTTATCCCAAAAACCGTTAGCGGTTGGATCCATTGAGCGGCGGTGCCAGCGGCTGAGGCATGTCCAGCTGCGTCAAGCGCGGACGCGGAGCCTCGTGTACTTGGAAGCTGGTGAAGCCATGAATGGTGCTATGGCCAAAGGAAGTGCTGCTGTTTTTGACTCCAATGATGTGAATAAAAATGTTCACATATGTTCACATATTTAAGTTGCGGGTGCATCTTCTATCATCTTGCAGTTGCAATATTATATATAATGACAAATTATATACAACATTATACAACTATATATTTGTTGTGAATGGCTATACTTTTAATTCCCCCCAACCGGTAGCGGCATCGTGGGTGTCTCAGGAGTGGAGCCTGCTGACTTCCAGGCGCAGCTTTGCATAATCCCATCAGAATCCCATCACAATCCCTAATACCACCATTTATGATAAATTAATATAAGTTATATGATATTTATATGATATATATATATATATATATTTATTTATTTATTTATTTATTTATGGTTCCAAATATTTGTAAATCCCCTACCAAGCGATGATGTATGAGGGGTGTTTGAGACTAATTAGGGGGATGGATTTAATCTGCAACAAACTGCTGATGTGAATATATGTTTGAATTTGTTTTTGGAAAAAATGAAGTAGAGATGATGCGTAGCTGGGTGAGATTGTAGCTGGATATTGTACCCTCTGGTAAACTAACATAGCTATGGAAAATCACCATTTTTCATGTGAAAATCCACTATAAATGGTCATTTTCAATAGCTATGTTAAATTACTAGAGGGTATGACATTGTTTGTGGCTTCCTGCTTCAGATGGACTTTCCTGGACAGCCACATGAAGAGTTTCGATGTTTGCCCGTTTGACCATCTATACCGCTGGGTTCAGAACCCACAAGAGGCCACAATTGGCCATTCCCTTATTTGCCATGTTTCGAAACGTTCAAGGATTCCACCATCGATTTTCTTGGGTGTATCTTTCCACCAACGGTGCCCATATGAAACCATCAGGAGGATTTCTTCAGCATGATCCGGTCGCTGCAAGAAGTGGCGCTGGCTGCGGCTGTATCCTTCCTGGTGGTTCTGGCCCTGTCCTACAGCTGCTTGGCATATCCTCATGATGCCATGGTTCCTGGTGGATTCAAAAGTGGCAAGTGATGTATGCATGTTCTTTGCTATTTAGAAGTTGTATAGTTATCAATTATGGTTAATTATCATTATTGTGCTTTGTTAGGTTATATCACCAAGCTCTAGAATTTGTTGGATGATATGATATGGATTGATATAGTCACGCAGACATTCATACAGAAGAGCCACTGCGGTCGCCTGAGGTTCGATGGATCTCAGAGTAGCCACTTGGATCAGCGGCATCTTGAGCTGGCCTCTTGGCCCAGTGACAGCCGGAGTCCGGTAGAGTCCGGTAGCGTACTGGGCGTATGCCCTGTGTGGACCAGGACTCTGAAGAAGTAATGACACCTATTGCTTTTTGCTCAGCAAATGGATTCAAATGCATACTGAAATGATGTGAATTTTGCCCTTGTTCAGCCGCTGCATTCTTTCAATATCTTTCAGTCATAAGTCTGCCACAAGTCAACCCAATGACTCGGGCTGTTGATGTGGGCGCAGTAGCATGGAAGGGTAAGCTCAGGTTGCTGCAATTCTTGGCCTTTACGCAGTCGTGGTCAAAGCAGGCCTATCGGTAGATGGGTAGATGGTTTGGTGCTGCCTGGGATTGTTGAAGCAACCATTTTTCTCTGTCACTCTCAGAGTCTCAGGAGGTGGGGGCTGGACAGCTTTCTCATGCCAGGTTGGTTGGATGTTTCAAGCCCTCAATGGAGCAGTGGGTGCTTTGGCCGCAGGGTGTTGCATGCTGCAGATGGGGCGATACTAGGCGCAGGGGTGGTTCTGCAACGCATTCAGAGTCAGAGTGGCAACGTTCCAGCAGCTTTTGACAAACAGGTGAGGTTTCAAGACCTCCTGGGAGCCCGTGTTGTAGAGACCGTTGTTGATTTGGTTTGGCTTGGCTGCGGCAACTGCGACGCCTGCGCTCCAAGGCCGTATGGTGTCGACATTGGATGAGCCTGTAGCGCGCTATGGCCAGAAGGCCTTGGGCAAATGACACTCCTGAAAAACAATTGCACATTATTTAACACATTATTGAATTATTATGAATTATTATTGATCATTATTGCATGTTATTGTACATTTGGATACATTTGGCCATCTGGCCAAGCCAAGCATCAGGCAGAGAGGCATGCTGGGACCAAGTCAATTCACAAGCCTCTCATGGAACCAGGTGGCGCAACCCTTAGAGGCTTTGGAGGCGTCCATTGACAAGCTAGACATGGAGCAACTTGGCCAAAAGCCGTGGAAAAACCGTGCAAAAGCCGTGGAAAAACCGTGCAAAGAGTGAGGAGGGATTCTAACTGCCACACACAACACTGAACCTGATTTGCGGACATTTGTCCAACTTGGTCCAACTCAGCAGTGTACTGATGCTGTTTCCAGAGGTCTTATGACTTTTCCATTCCTGACTGTTCTTGAGAGCTACTCTCTGTGCCCCACCAAATGCCTTTTGGATATTTTTGGATCCTTTTTGGCGTCACCAGATCCCATAGGGCTGTCTGTATTTCTTGGTGGGCAGCTGTCGGTATTTCTTGGTGGGCATATCGCAAAGTTCAGCCAGATGATTTAAGTTTTCCCAAGACATTCTGTATCCCAGGCAAGCACTCGTGGTCAAGCGAATGAAGGACCGGACAAACTTCATGTTTCATAATGTTTCATGTGCTGTGTGGAATCAGCAGTGTGTTGAGATGGAACGTCAGTCCCACAATTGTGCAGCTGATTAGTGTCCGATGGATCGATGCAACAGATTCCAAGGCCCTGCTCCCACGCGTGGAACTATCAGTGTTCTTGCATACTATAGCTGGAATTTATAAAACCATTTTCAGATTTTTCAGGAAGCATAAGAAACATGTCTTGCCCATACGGATTGTTTGCCCGTTCGCACGCGAAAGCACTATAGAATCTCTATAGTAAATCAATATGATGCCATCTCATAGCCATCCGTACTGCGAAAATTCCCACATGATACTAATTAAACAAAATACCTCTTTGTCTTTAATATTACAGCTGAATGCCGCTGACAATTCTTACAATACCAGAAAAACAGAGGACATACACAGAATTAAACATAATTAAACAGACCCCATAGATTGCCCACAGATTTCCCTCATGGAGCCTGGAATTTTAGCTGATTTCTCCAAGGAGTTTGAAGGCCAAGTCCGTGACGTGATTCCGGACTTCGATGTGCCGACGGTGGAAGACTTGCGGGAACCCATCGTGGACTGCCGGGGCCCAGAGATTTTGGACAGCTGCTGGTGCCGCCCATGAAGTACAGGTTGAAATATGTTGAAATTAAGTCTATTTTGGATGAAGCATTGTGGTTGCTTTACCAAAACAAGAGGGTGTGACTGGGTATGCACTTGACTAGACAGATGTATTGCACAGCTGGGGATGGATCAAAACTTTAAATGACTTTAAATAACTTAAATATATATATATATATATATTATACATATTCAAATACATTTTTTTTTTTTCGGGGTGAACATCCGTAACTCAAAGCTATTTGGGGCAGCGCAGCGCAGGGCACTCCGGTTTTGACCCATTCCCACCCTTAGGCCATACGCGGATTGGGAACTTCCTGGAGGAGACCAAGGTCTACAGCGGGATCCGCTGAACATGCTGTGCCAAATAGTCCTGTGGTGATTGCTTTATGATTAAACTATATTAACATATATTAATTTAGATAATTATGAGTCATTGCTGTTTGTCAATTTTTGGGTGTTTTTACTTGTTCCTGTTGTGTTCTTGTTATTGTTATCGGATTGTGCCGGTGTTTTCCCTTTGTAGAAGTTGTGGATTTGGACCGATTTCCATTTGAAGTCTCCAACTTCCACAGCAAAGTGGACTCGGAAGCTGTCAGGGCGCCTTGCCAGATGAGTTGAAAGAATTGCTGAAGAGGCGCCGCGGGCTGTCCTGTCTCCTCGCACTGGCTGTGTGATCGCGTTGAGTAGTACTGATACCCTCTGGTAAACTTACAAAAAACTATGGAAAATCACCATTTTTAATGGGAAAATCCACTATTTCTATGGTCATTTTCAATAGCTATGTTAAATTACCAGAGGGTATAGATACTACTGATAGTATCCAGCTGGAGCGGAACCTAGACCTAGCAGCCCCACAGCAGCCCAACAGCATATCCTCAGGTCCTCCCCAGTGTTGGATCTTGTGCTGGTGATACAACTCCAGAGGGGTTATATATGGTTATATAGTATGGCTCGAAATGACGAACCACAATGATCCACCCGAAATGGATAGTTTCTGAGTCTCTGATCCAAAAATGGCCAATGTGCTCATTGGTGCCCAATGGCTTGGCCCATACTGTGGCTGTTTAATGCTGTTTATGTTACTCCGATACACCAAAAAGGTTTGATTTAAAATGATTTAAACATGTTAAAATCTGCGTGATATCATGGGTATGGTTGATCATCACTTTCCCAGTGACAGGCATTCCACAGGGCACCTGGTGCTTCAACGCTCTGGCTTTGAGTGTCGCTTAGTCTCCTGGCTCTGAATCGGATCTGGCCATCATAGCTGCGCCTCCATTCCAGTAAACTCATGTAATTTCCATGATCCTAACATATCCTAACGGTGGTTTCTAAAGTTTGCCAATGTTTGATGTAAAGGATGCTTTTTCAGGATATTCTACCTGTCAAGCCACTCATCCAGCGCTGCTACGCTGCTACGAGATGAAGGAATCCAGGGCAGTTCCACCAACGACAGCTCTGGGGGTAGTGATTTTCCCTGGTAGGCTCAGGGTTTGCCGGGGGAATCTGGAGGTATGAGGCATTTGTTCTGGCTAAAGTGGAATTCATACAATGTTTTTGTTTGATTGTTTGTATTGATCCTTGTTGATCCGGCGGCTCATTGCAGCTCCACCGGTTTCACTGTTTTGTGAGGTGCACGTGCCTTTGGTTTTGGTCTTCATACTGAACCTGAGCATGTTGATCCTGTCGCAGGCAGCCTTGCGGTGATAACAGGAACTTGGAGCTCACTAGCATTCACTAGCTCACTCCCAGCCCATGCTGAAAACCTGCAGGTCATGGTGGCCTCTGCATTGCAAGGGCCAGTTGAGACCCCGCTGGGACCGGACCAGAATGCAGCTTGGGCAGAGATTCAGGGGAGGATTCACAGAAGTCCGCATGCTAACAAAACAGGCCAACAGGGCTCCAGCGAAACAGCTGCTGCCAATTCTAATTATGCTTGGTTTTTTTGGTGTCTTTAAACTTGCTCGAGACCGGACAGTCGGACGTCCAGCAATGTCCAGCACCCAGCTAAGGATGCTTTGGTTCGAGGTTTTCAGGCAGGGAGGGGTGTTCAACGTAGGAGCTGCTCCATAGGATTAGACTTTTAATTAGTATTTTTTAGTTAGTTTCATGGGCATCCGAACAGTCATGACTCATGACTGAACATTTAGTTCGATTGTTTCAATGGGTAGTCGACCACCAGAGTCATTTGCATTGCTTTGTGCGTTTATTTGTAGAATAGATGAGATATTCCGACTAGGCCCCGACGACCCCACAGCAGTTGTGACATCAATCGTATGATCAAGTTCTCCGATGCGTGTATGCCGAAGATATCCCAAGATGTTGTTGATTTCATGGGCGCGTAGTGAGTTGATAAATGATATGAATGTTGATGGTCTATTTAATTCTATTTATAAATTGTTATTTACAGTAATGGCTCATTTTTGCGTCCAACCTTTGCACCAGGAGCAGTTCCCACAAATCAAGTTCTCCTTGCAGGACAAAAGTCTGCTGATGCTAAACTGGGCTGGGAAGGGTAGTGACGACTGGCGACAGTGGGCGCCAGGAGGATGCGCACGCACCAATTGTTACCACACCTGTGCGGCTGCCAAGTTGGGCGAGTTCCCTCTCCGGTTAATGTAGACACATCAATTGACGGCAATTATTACAATGTTATATATTATATATAATTATATATATACAGAGTTATTTTATATATTTATATATATATATACTATTATATACTTATGGAAATTTATTGAAATCGTTTGAAATCGTACCGAGTACAGTAGCGGCTAGTGGCAACCAAAAATCCACTCGTTTGTTTCTATGGCCATCATGGATGATATTTTTTGGGGCTTGCACAATCGTGCAGCACATGTTTGTTCTTGTAGTGGCGCGATTTGGAATTCCACCCTGGGACCTTCCCCACTGCTCGAGTTTGCGCTTCCGACTTCCAGTGATCTCCAATGTACCTGCCATTCGCTGTCTTTACTTTTCATACCCTTTCCAGTGGCTCAGAGGATGAAATTAGGTGTATTGAGATTATGGTTCCCTCATGCCCCATGTAATAAAAGATTATACAAAATCGCTTTTTGACTAACATATTGATCAACCCTTCGACTCATTTGAATGTTTCTTGGTTTGGAAATAACATTCACAAATGTTGAGAAGAGCAAACCATCCACAGAGCATCACTGCCGGAGGCTCCATCAAATGGATGGGCAGGTGTACTGATGCCGCTGCCCTGCTTTCTGCCACTGGGACATTAGCTTCAGAGATGTATTACTTGTGATAGGTTGTGAGCAGAAAGCAGCTCCTAGGAGTCACCACGAGTGTCATTTTTCAATCAGTGGGGTATTGCAACATATTGCAACCCAACTCGCTTTCTCAGATTTTCTCAGGCAGATCTTGCTTAGTGTCCTGGAGCTCCTCTTAGGCATGGTGAATCTATGACAGATCTGGGAAGGAGCCCACGGATCTCTCATTCCTTCCCTGTGAGCAATGTATAGATATGTATAGTAGAGCACAAGCCCGTGCTTTATTAAGTGCTAATAGCGCAACATAGTGCAACAGATATCAACAGATACTTGCATGAGGGATGAAATCAACAAAAAAAGATTACTGACGTGGCAGCAGCGGGGTGTGCATTGCGCAGGTCTTTACTTGACACGCCCCTCAAGACTCCTTGCGATGGTGGGCAGCGTCACGCATGATCTGGACCCAGTCCAGGGCGATTTTTGGGGGGCCGAATGGTCATTGCTATCATTACCTGCTATATCCTGTCCTGTTTGCCGATGAACATGAAATTGCCAGCTGTTCGGCTGCGGTTCACTAGGGTACTGACACCGAAATACACCGAAGGAGAAAGGCTGCAACGCTTGGATCGAGAAGAACAGTCGTGGGATATCTGCAGAGGTCAGGGCGATGCCCATTGGATTCGATGGTGTTGGATCCAGATACTTAGGCAGTCCCAACGCTCAAAAGAGCAGAAAACCAATGATGCCATGGGCAGAATTGTTGAACAGAAAAAAAACTTGCCCCTACAAGAGCAGTTGTTTTTTCTGACTGAGTACCCCGATGAACCAAGAGCATGATGCAGCAGTGCAAGGTGTGAGTCAGTTGTGAGGGTTCTTTCTTGAAGCCAAAGCCCACTTACTTTTGAACGCGCAGCAAATTATCACCTGTATACTGTATGCAGCTGTATGCAGCTACCTTCGTCCAAACCATCATTAATGTTTTTGAATTTGTAGAGAACACTCATATAATATAAGGCATCATAAGACAACATATAAAAGATTAAACTAGTCTCCTTCGACTGGGAGACAAATTTGTTATTTAAAGGTGCCCAATTTTCAAGAAGCAGCGTCTCCTTGGTCCTGGCCGAAGGTTTTCGCGACTTTTGGCCAAGTGCAGAAGCGCGCAGAACGTTGCTTGATGCATCGCGGTTCAGATGATCCCAGTGATGATCCATTACCTGAGAACTTTTTGGATTCATCAATGGCGGAAATGATTTTGTTGCATCAAAGTCTCCAAGATTACCCAGTGCCAGCTTATACATCTTGTAACACCCAAAGATTCCAAAGAAAAAGCGGCAAACAGCATCAAAGAGCCATGTTCATTCCTTAGATTCGTGACATCAGCAGCGGTTTGTTTCCCCGTTGCGCCAAGGCTTCTTCCCAACTTACCGCTTGCGCATGGGGCAGCTACGCTCTTTCCTGCTGACTGGAGCAAAGGCCCGCGGTCGCAGCGCGTTCATTTAGAGTTGGGATGATTTGAGTGAACATTTTTGGTTGGCATGCACAATGAATCGAATCAATTCAACCTTTCGATCCAGAGTCGTACCAATCCATGTCTATCTACGAATATATACGAATCTACATGTTGACTTTCTACCAATCATAGTTTTGTGTGTTCGCTACTGCAGGCGGAGAAAGCCAGTGGAGTTTTTGGCAAGGCTCAGTGTTTAAGCAAACACGAGTTAACAGGAGGTACATTACTTGGATTTGTGGAAATGAAATGCCAATATATCATATATCATTATCCCGATAAAACAATACTATATATATAGCATGTATGATCTCAACGGCGCAACGTCCTATCAATCGAATTATTCCCACATACATAAGATTGTTATGCAAATGGTTCGTTCATGTACATAAAAAACATAAAGCATGTTTTGTACATTGGCATGTGTATCCACCACGATTACCCCAGCTTTTGGATTCGCGCATGCATGCTCATGAATTGCAATGCCTGGGGCCTTCAATCCTGTGAGAGATCGATTTGGCCAATTCGAATAGTTTGAGTCACTGCATGTAAACTTCTAGCTGCTTCTAGCTGGGCTGAACCTTTTCTTGGGTTTCAAATCTCATCACAGGTTTACTTCGAATACTCTTTGAATTGATTTCTATGCACCGCGCAGCATGACTGTGGCCCAGGCCGGGTCTATGTTTCTAGGCCCTGCCTCTCCGTGAGACAAGTGACTTCCACCAAGAGTCGTGGGAGCCATACTTGCGCTGGGAAGATCTCAAGAACCCAAAATTAGCAAGGTCAACCATACAATGTCCAATCTAACACTGGATTGACATTGTTAAGTATGTCAAGAATTGTAAAGAATTGTAAAGATATATAAAGACCTTGCCGAAGTCAATTTCCTGCGGTCAAAAGTGCCGCTGCCCAGCGGCCAATGTGCCAAGCAGCACCTTTTGGATTCAGGTTGGATGATTGAGGCGTAACCATCAAAACGTGCCAAAAACTAGGTCTGAAGGTGCTACTACGCTTTGCAAAAGTTTGTGGTAAGGCCAGTCTTGAAACTTAAAACAGCTCAAAGCCACTGGACATGGTGAAGTTCAATGAAGTTTGAATAAAACGCATTTTTGACCTATATACAGACAGGTTTCTGTTCGGACATTGTGTATGACTCCATCTCAAATTGTAGATACTGTACTGTCCATTCGATTGAAGACTTTTGGAATCCAGCGCTGCAATTCGTTGCTTCAGGGCAATGTTGAATGCCTTGACAGAAGCCCGTGTGGTGTTCGAAATGGCACCGAAGGGTTTTCCCCATGGGAGGTTGGTCAGCTCTCAGCAAGGGGTAGTAAACCATACCTTAAATCCCAGCACATACTCTCATTCTGGAGATAGAGACTCTAATGAAATGCCTTTCACGATCCATGAAATCCATCATGATATATCATGATCATTGTTTTCGTTGCCTTTCTTTTGACGGACCACTCAGACCACCTTTGTTATTCGCTGAGGTTTAAAGCTTTGCAGGACAGCAAAGGTTGGTTCCTCTTTGAGGATCGTCCCTGGTACCTTGGCTTCGGCTGGGTATTGGCACCACATTCTCTGGATAATACGTGCACCAATATGCACCAATGGTATATACTTAATGCATTTTAATGCATCTTAATGCATCTTACTATTCTTACGGCCAAACACCTTGATTTGCCCGCGCTTTTCGGCGGCCATCTTCCGACGTGCTGAAAACGTGGTAAAAATGGGAGTTGTTTGCATGACCGGTAACTTGAAGTTGTTTATCTCAACGCGCAGGTCCCTGACCTGTGCGCGGCTTTTACACAGCAACATCATCATCATCAACATTAACATCATCATCATCATCAACAACATTAACATTAACATCAACATCAACATCAGTTTAATATTCCCCAAATACCCTTGTTGATCTTCCCAATTGAATGAAAAGTTTAACGGGGGTGGGAGTTTAATATTCCCCAAATACCCTTGTTGATCTTCCCAATTGAATGTAAAGTTTAACGGGGGTGGGAGTTTAATATTCCCTAAATACCCTTGTTGATCTTCCCCATTGAATGTAGAAGTTTAACGGGGGTGGGACATTATCTTCCTAATTGCATGTAAAGTCAACCCAATGGTAGGGTATAAAAGGGGTGTGGGCGAATCAGGGTGTTTGCGCGTATTCTTACTGCATTTCTTTGCTCAGTCTGGCAGTGTGAAAATAACCTAGTGCCCAAGGCTTGTTTGATCACGAATGGCTGAGGAGTGCTCCTGGTGTAGTTTCTGAAGCTGAAGGCTTGTAGATTTCAAGATTTGCTGACCATCCGCCAACTTGGTGTGGCTATGCAGATGAGCGTGTGCAAAACCATGCAAAAACTCATAGCACATGGTAAGCCATGGTCATCCCAAAGTTGTAAGCCTGCCAAGGGGAATGCAACCTCAGGATTGCTCACGTGATCCGAAGTCAATGGCAAAGATCTGTGCTTCCGGTCAACTGCGCAGGAGTAATCTGGTGACGATTTTGTTGGGATCCTTCAGCGTCAAGGGACCTCTAGAAGTGGTTCATACTTAATATATATTATATATATATATCCCATAGGATCCATGTATGGTATATATGCTAACATTGGGGGTATATTGATGGTAAATGTTACCATATATAGCATACATGGATCCTATGGGTATATGATCGAGGGATCTGGAAACCAGGAATGCAATGGGATATCTGTTTTTTTTTTGCGTTGGAGATGCTGCGGTGGATCCATGTACGATTGAGACCAGGGTTGGGACATGTGCAACGATCCTTGAAAGAGTGCCACATGATCTAGTTGTGTTCCTGATTGAAACAGAACTGATTGAAACAGTAGGCCAAAAAGTACCTTGAAGTACAGGTTGATGAAAAAGGTAAAAGCAAGAATTGCTTGAGGCAAAAGCATTCTTCAAAGATGCACTTGGTTTGAACTCCTTGGACACACCAAGCTTTGACCTAACGCATGGCGACTACTCAGCGTCATGTTTTGTGCCTGGCAGCATTGCTGTTCTGCACCCATAAATTGGGTGCTGGCACGCTGCAGCTTAGGGCATTAACAACGGTTGGCTGTTCGCCAATTTTCCCACCCATTGAGCCGTGCTGGAAGTAGCGATGCTGGAAGATGACAGGTGGATATTTTTCAATGTAAGTATTGAGACTTGAAACCAGATCTCTCACTTTTTATTCCCAAACACTGGAATTGAATGGAATTGTCATCATCATTTATGCCCAGTACAGAGAGTGTGTTGCCTTTATCGAGCACTCGCGGCACCAGTTGTATCTTCTTGTGTTTATTTCAGCAGACCTTGTCCACTATGACTATGGAGCCCATGATGCATTGCTGCATTCCTCTAACATTGATGGATCACAAGAACAAGGGAAAAGGGTCATATTTACTTACTATTAGTAACTATAGTGACCCGGTGATTGTATAATAGTTACTCTTACTATCTATCTATCTATCTGTCTGTCTGTCTGTCTATCTATCTATCTATCTAATCTAATCTAATCTAATCTAATCTAATCTAATCTATCTATCTATCTATCTATTACTATCATTAGTGCGGGAAAAGGGAAAACGATAAAGACAGGGGAAGCGTTAGGACATCTCTTTGGAATTCGGCACAGCTCCTTTGGACGTTGCCTTTGTTGTAGGTGCAGTTGGTTGGGCGCGGCTCAGAAGATGCTGCATTCATAGTCCGGAACCGCTATATATATATAACAATAACTTGCGTTAATTAAGTCGGCATTGCCGGTTGACTGGATTCTCTTGATTGGCGGAGTGGAAGTTGAGCTTCTTACAAGGAGTGATACCAGTTGTGTTGATTGGTGGTCCCTGCAATCTGGATGAGACCGTGCCCAAGCTTTGATGCTGGCAGCCACGATTTTTTAGGCCAATATTGGGACGACAATCGGGGAATGGTCAAACAAAAATTGAATTGGAATCAACGCCCCCTTTGATGGTCTGTGGCCACGACCCGTCTCATTGTTATCCCTGGGGAATCGGTCCCTCCAATAGGAGTATGGATCTGCAGGGGCGCCCTGCGCGAAGCATGTGCCTTAAACAAAAAAGAACTCTGCAAGGGCAACTTGCGTGCTTAGCAGATCGCTGGCCCATTGAACATCATGCTTCTCATTTGGGTTTGTCTGGAAATTGGGTTTATTATTCACAATGGTAATCTTGACAATGAGGAAATCAATGGAAATCAGATCAATTCATTCAGAATCCATTTCATCTATTGTTGAACAAAGCCACGAACTTTCCATTGCCGCATCCTCCAGTCTTGGCTCAGCCAACGCATCGCCGGGGCGTTTTCGCACTCCGCAACGGCCACGCTGCAGGGGACTGATGGCGCTGCAAGGACTGTGGGGATGAAAGCTGACTGGTGCCAAATCCATTAATTATTCTATATTAGGGCCAACCACCCCACAAGACAAATTGGGAGATTATAAACAATGTTAGAACTTCGACTTCCAAGGTTTAAATTGATGATTGATCATTCCTGAAAACATCTCAACACAACAAAAGCTGCAAAAAACAAAACAGACATTGCCACGGATCAGTTTCGTCGGCCTCGGCGTCAGAAGTCTACGCTGTCCAGGATCGAAGTCCCGGACTGTGGCTGCGAGGTGGAAAATCCCGAGCACCAAGGGTGATCTGGATGGGGTAAAAAAGAGTGCAACTAATATACATTAATATACAGTATACTTGGTGGCTCATCCCACTGCTCGTAAGTGGGTTAGTTCACCCCAAAAAAATAGTGGATTAACCCTATATATCCCACTTATAACTGGGGTTATAATCCACTTACTAACTGGGATGAGCCACCAAGTACATTAATAATATACACCGTAGTAGCTCCCCCAAAAAATAAATGGAAAATTGAGTCATCACTATTTTGATATTTCAATATATTTCATCACTTTTCTATCTTGGGCTGCCACAAAATTATATCCCAATATCGGTTACTGCATCATTTGCTTGGCCATGTCTTGGGAGGATGCCCAATGTGTGCCACCAGGGATCATCAAAGGGATAGAAACCAATGGTTCACATGATTTGGACGTGTTTTTTGTCCGGTCGTATTTGGCCTTTGGTCGATGTTGATAGAAACAACGTGTGCCGTGACTTTCCCCGATATTCCGCTAGCGGAGACACGCTATAGAAAGAGATGCTGAGACCCGCGATGCTCGCAGTTGGTTCGTATGTTGAATTGACAAGATGAGACTGTTCACAGGCATTCTGCAACTCAACGCTGTATAGAATGCAGTCACTCATCGGGTTTCAGTGCAAAGTATTGCGAAGTGTAGTTAAAAATGATTGAAACATTGTTTTTGAATGGATGCTGCATAGAGCGCTTGCTGGCTTGAGGTATTTCGAGGTATCATAGGGTCGCCCAGCTGACGCTTGATGGATATCCGTACATATGGCCAACATTGGCCAATACATTTCTGGTTGCAGGTGGCCTGTGGTGAGTTTCGCCTGAGACTGAGGGAATGTGCAGAATGCCGCCTGCGCAGTGGCGAGCTATGTGACATGTGGCGAGCTGACCAAATCACTAAGGCCTTAGCGATGGCTGCCATTGCTTGTCAGCAACCTATTGGGATGGCTGGACTCCGGACATCTCTGGACTTTGTATCAAGCAGTATGTTTCTCTCCATATTCGGCTCTACTACTCTTGATTTGCTTAAAAAAGAGGTGTGACACAAGAATGAAGCGGCTTGACAGTTGGGAACACGGTGGTTGAAAGCCAAGGCTACACTAGCGAGCTGCGCCCTGAGAATAATTCGGAAACTGAGGTTGATGTGAGAGTGCCGGCTGTCTTCTTGTGAAATAAGACAGCGATTGGATGTGGACCCCATGTATGTTGGTTGTTATTTTTTGAATGCGGAGGGTTCCATTGCTATGTCAGTTCACTATAGTTCACTGATACAAGCAGTTGGATGAAGCATTTGATGATTGACGCCTCGGACATGTCCACTTTGATGCCAGAACTGTACTCCCGTTGATCCCAGCTGTATGACTCCAGGTGGTAGCCACCAGGTGGATTGCAATTCCCTCCCGGGATAAGTATTTGTATAGTACTTGTGGAAGGGGTTGCTAAACAACGTTAAACACTTGATATTACCATCTGGTTATTTAACATAGCCATGGAAAATGGCCCATTTATAGATGGTTTACCTGGGTTTACCTATTAAAAATGGTGATTTTCCATGGCTATGTTAAATAACCAGAGGGTAGATCATTCCAACTCCAAATCAAGAACCTGGCAGGGTCACAACAAGTGCTACAGCTCCCCACGGCTCAGGTCAAGGCTTTTTGTGTCCATGGGTAGTTCGCAATTCTCCGGCAGAGGCGTTTCTATCTATTGAATCTATTGTAGAACCAGGTAGAGCTTGCGTCATCTTGCGTGGTATCACTGTGTTCTGGCGAACAAATGCCATTCCATTGTTGTCATGAGGTAATCATTAGATATCATTAGTGAATCATTAGGTCATAAGCTGAAGTAAACTAATTAGACTCATGGAACTGCATCATTTGCATTGGAGTGGCCTGCCTTTCGTGGGGTTCAATTTGTTCAGTGATAAATTGGACCATGAAGATCCATGAAGCGGATCAGTGACATTAAAATTTGCGCAGAGAGAGAGAGAGAGAGAAGGTTAAAGGACCCAACTAATGACGTTTCAAACAGTTGTGTATATATATCTATATATTTATCTATCTATTACATACAGTTATACAATGATATATAGTATATTTATATTATTTTCCAATATATTCCAACATATTCCACACTATTCCACCTTTCAATTCTGAAGCTCACCATAAGCTGGGGGCCAGGCACATGTCCTTGCCAGGCAGCATCTCGCCAGTTGTAGCAGCGACGCTGGTCCAACCAACAGCTGGGGAGCACAGATACCATGCAAGACATGGGGCCCATTTCACCCATTTCCATATGATGTGTGTTTGTTTTTTGTGAAGTATACTTCACAAAAAACACACGTTAAGGCTGATGGCGCAGCTGATTTTGCGCGAATGGGCCTAGGGATCATTTAAAAAAAATTGTGTACTTGCAGGATTAATTATGATATTTTATGATTATTTACAGCTACTTGGATGATTGAATCAACCCAGCTACCATCAGCTACCCAGCTATTAGCGATGCACAGATTGCCGAGGCATCCCCGAAGTCCACGGGCTTCCCTGCAGCTCTCGCCGTGGTTGCTGCACTGGCACTGGTCAAACCCAGGCCCAGGATTTGGGAAGTTGCC